AAAACTGTATGCGAGGTTCCCATGTATACCTACAGAGGTGGGCGTCGATTTGAGCATTGGCAACGACGGCACAGACAGCAACACAGACGAAGAGGAGGATCAGTTTCATGTTGAAGCTGGATTTCGAAACAAAAATAAAACCATGGATTCTTGACTTTTATTTTTGAAATATTCCATAAAACAATTATATTGTCTTGATACAGGTACCAATTTATCCCCATAAAGATCAGGGTGAACTGGCCCTCAGCAGACCATATCTGACATTAAAGGCGACTTTTCTTTCTATTTGTTCTATTTAACTTCGCACTCAGCAATACTCCAGCTGTATGTCGGCGGTCTGTAAAATAATCTAATCTGGGTCAGACAATCCAGTGATCAACAACATGAGCATCGATCTGCGCAATTGGGATACGATGACATGTGTCAGCCAAATCAGCGAGAATGACAACCCGATTCTGTTAGTCGTATCTTACGACAAGCATTGGCTACTGAGGACCAATTCTAATCCGGATCTTCACGGGTCTTAAAGGCGACTGTCGGGCGACTGTCAGTCGTGCTGACATGGTTGATGCACGTCGCTGTGTTTCTTTTGCTGATGTCAGTTAGTGAACTGCCTGGTCTAGACTCGACTATATACAGCTGTTTAAGAAAGGGGAGGGGGAAGGGGTGTGCATCAGTTCGTTTTCACCTGAGACCAATTAGTCGTAATTTGATAAACTTCCATGACAAAAGTGGGGTTGCAGGGGGCCCTCTGGTTCCGCCCATGTTATAATGCTAGACTATTACCGAGTGTGGCGTTAAAAAGCAAACACAAAATGTCCTAATGTATCAATCAGAACTTTACTTCAACTTAGCGGAATAGGATTAAACATCTATCGCGATCAGTACAAAAATTAAGGGGAGTGGGGGAGAGAATGTTTTATTTAAGGCTCAGGGACCGTGTGGAAGCCTAGTGGATAAAGCGTTCGCACGTCACGGCACAGACCCGGGTTCGATTCCGCACATGGGTATAACTTGTGAAGTCCATTTCTGGTGTCCTCCACCGTGATATTGCTGGAATATTGCTAAAAGCGGTGTAAAACTAAAGTCACTCACTCTACGACATGTGACACATTTCGTGTTGCTCCCTCCCTTCCACAATACTGCTGAAATCATTATAGAACTTTCTGTATAATGCATCTCACTTACTCAGTGAAATAAATACATTGCTATTCGAGGGTAATTGTCTCTTTCCAATCGATGAATACCTCACCACATCTTTGCCCTGTCGATTTTTAGAATATTTATTCATGATTTAATCATTCGTACCTTTCAAGGATACAACGCTAAACCTAAGCAATACAAAACACATGTTTAATTCATGGCTTAAATCACGGTACATGGCTTAAAACACTCGATTTACTGGAAAGGGAAAAAAATGTGTACATACCTTCTCAGTAAAACAACCTTATGTTGTAAGACAGATAATAGCTGTTAGATCTATTTTTATATAAGAAATCCTGATAGTGATGGAACGCGATACCATGGCAACAGATCATGGGAAGGGAGCACCTGCATATTCAAATATTGTCACGCGAATTCCAGTGTATGTGTTGCTGTGAAAGGTATATATTCGGCTTGACCTTCACGTGAACTGTCACCTCATGTAGCCTAATGTCACAGAGGACATACGACATGTTTTTCTGTTATTTCTGAACACCAGTTCTATTTTCGTGTTTCTGGTTAGATATAATGGTGTGACCCCGTCACACACGTGTGCATGAAGCTCAAATGAGCCTACGTGAATTTGTGCCACAAAGGTTTGTTCTTGTGGTTTTATTTCTACAAAAAATAGTTGTGTTTTTAATATTGTATGAACATCTATCACTGTTACATTACCAGACCGTCCGTATTTAGGACTGACTGACTGACTGAGTTTGGTTTTACGCCGCTTTCAGCAATATTCCAGCAACATCACGGCGGGGGACACCAGAAATGGGCTCCACACATTTTACCCATGTGGGGATTCGAACCCGGGTCTTCGGTGTGACGAGCCAAAGCTTTAACCACTAGGCTACCCCACCGCCCCCGTATTTAGGAACAGGTGTTTGCATTAAAACTGACGAAGAGAATTGGAAATCCATGAAGATCGAAGAGAATTGGAAATCCATGAAGATCCGGGTTAAATTGGTATTTAGCAACGCACGCTAAACACGGACGGGTTGTCCATATGTGACATATTCCCAAACGTGGGGTTAAAAGACTATCAAAGTCTTGATATATTGTGAGTGAGTTTAGTTTTACGCCGCTTCTAGCAATATCACGGCAGGGGAACCAGGAATGGACTTCACACATTGTAACCAAATGGGGAATCGAACCCGGGTCTTCGGCATGACGAGCGAATGCCTTAACCCCACCGCACCATCATAAGAAAAACCTCTTGCCTCGACAACAGTCCCATATCCTGAGTCCTTCGCCGTAATATTGCTCGAAATGTATTTAAAGAGGCATATTATCAAACTAACTACTCAAATTCAACTGAAGATTAGCTGATATCCCGATGGAGTAAACGTATGCTTGGTAAAGGTCACACAACATATTTTCTATAGTCGCTGTGGTTTTATACACAAAAGCAGATTTTCTATTGTCATATAGGTGTTATTTTTTTAACATATATTCGACAGCCTATATCCTATAGTGGTTGTAATTTTGTTGTATATGCAAAGCAGCATAGATCCTATAGTAGTTGAATAAAATATATAGTCTTCTACATTTTCTATACGAGGATTCCGCATTTTTTCTGAACTTTGCTAAAATGTTATCAGTATGTCGAGGTGAGTGCGTGCGGATTTCATGAACTGTTTTCAGTTTTTCCATGCCGTTTTACTGAGCTACGTGATATAAGTTTCGAAAATTACTAATGAGATAAAACACTTTTTTTTCACATTGGATCTTACTCAAGTTAACGTCATGATACCAGCTACTGACAGCTACGTTAAGTAACAGTGACTGGGTTCAGTCTTGTGTTGAGAAACCACAGGTTTTGCAAGTGCCCTGGTTAACTGTCACTTATGCGCAATCACAGCCATCGGGTGACTTCGTGTCGTTACCCTCTGTGGTTTTTCACTTCAAACTTAGCTCACCTGACCCAACATTTGAACGATATAACAGAGAGTGGATGTTGTTATCGCCGCGTCAGCAATAATGCAGATAACGTAGCAATAACGTGCTCACTTTACCGACTGCCGGAAGATATTCGGCATGTCTCGGAATAACACGAGCAGTCACGAATGTCTTTTATGCTTTATTTACTTAAATAAAATGTATCAAGCAACACTTGTATGCTGAGGTGAGCTTCGATTGGAAAGGTCAAGTCGCATGGTGCGATAAGGTTACATTCTTCTTGTCAGCTGTAACTGATAATTATACAAGTTGGAGAAAACTCTTCAAAATTTGTGATAAATATCAATATTTTTGTCATTTCAATGCTCACTTAGGACTTTCAGATTTATGGATAAAGGTTAAGTTGTCTGAGAAAATATTTGTCATAAAAGTGCCACATGGTTGTAATCAGACAATAATCATATTTCGTTATTTACATGTTTATGTAAAAATATAAATAAAATCAGGACTCGGTGAGACTTGGGAGCAGTTACAAGTGATGTGTGTAGGTCAGGAAAGTGAAATCGGGTTAACGTCGAGTTCAGGATTATTGTACTTGTGTATGAGGCTGCTTGCCGAATGCCGGTTTCATAACGCTACCACATGAGGTACCATGCCGCTATATACCTGAAATAAGGCTGGTATATATGTTATATTTGGGAATACACTTTCTTAGTAAAGTACAGATTCTAGTACTTTTGTTGGGTTGAGTCTCATCCGGGATTCGAACCCACACCCTCAGAGTCAGACAGTTTAGACGTGACAGTAAAGTTATTTAATTTCCTGTTTAGTTTCTTTGACAGACAAATGAAACATCTATCATAGCAAAATACTACGGTCTGTTTATCGGGTTACCAGCAGTGAAACGTACAAACTGATGGTTTGGTGTGTATTCTCCATTTGTTGCGACAGTCACGTACATTTCAAAATGAACAATCAGTTGCATATATTTCACGTATTCCCGACATTTGGCAGATGTGTGCTGTTTAAATCTGTAGTAGGGTTAGTGACATGTAACGTATGTTATATTTCGGATTACACTTTTTCAGTAAAGTACAGATTCTTTTACTGTTGTTGGGTTGAGTCTCATCCGGGATTCGAACCCACACCCTCACAGTCAGGCACCTAATCGCCAGCACACAAAGTCAGCCGCCTTACCCGCTCAGCCACCTCGGCTTCCACGGTAAGACTCACTAACCATGCCTCAGAATAATGTGGATACCCAGATGTTGTGAGTTGTGTCTCAGACCTTCCGGCCCGGGTTAGTATAGTGGTCTGTAGCAACCCATGCTTGTCGTAAAAGGCGACTAATGGGACTGATTCATGTCTTTGTATCCCAGTGACGTAGATGTATGCACATGCTGCCATTCATTGGATTGTCTGGTCTAGACAAGATTATCTACAGACCGCCGTCATATAGCTGGAACATTGCCGAGATGTACACTCATATGATTAATCTACACACAGATTGTGTTTGTTTCCTTTTAAAGCCACACTTAGTTTATATGAATTTGACCCGTAAATAATCGAGTCTCGACCACATAATCCAGTGATTGATATGACGAGGAACCGTTCGAGTACAATGCCACGTGACTCCCCGATGCTTGCAGTCGTCCCTAACAAGACTGACTGACAGAGTTTGGTTTAGGCTTTAGCAATATTCCAGCAACATCACGGCGGGGACACCAGAAATGGGCTTCACACATTATACCCATGTGGGGATTCGAACACGAAATAACGCTTTAACCACTAAGGCTACCCCACCGCCCCTCGTCCCTAACAAGCTTCATTGCATGATAAGAACTATTTCCAATCTGCATTCCCACTGTGAGGTAAACAGAAATATACACGAGCATATATTACAGATAAAATAATTTTATACTCTTCAAATTCTTAAATATAATAGATATACTTTATTTGAAATGATCAAGATCCAAGGATGAATCCAACAAAATAGTTCACATCGAATATACGAAACAGTGTAGAGATCAATAGATATCAACTATAGATACCTTATTTGTCAGTTACATCAATATATGTAATTAATAACTGGGGATGTCAAGCATGGCTTACTGAATATTAATAAGAATAAGTGTCAGCGACGAATATCACATTGATAAGAAATCGATTCCAGTCGATAAGTATAACATACCACGCAATTGAGAGCAATCATAAACAGAAAACTTACACATATAACAATCATGCAGGCCATTGAGAATGGAGAACTCTACAAGTCGCGAGACGGAGTAGTCCTCGATTATCCAGCTTAATGGAATCCAGGTAAAATATTACACTGTATAATCGAGGATGGTCGTTATTTTGGAACTCGCGTTTCTGACCTTATTTGTCAGATATATAAACGTGTATCAATGCACATTCTTGACACCGGGTGTTCTAATAGATGTATGGTCTTTTATGTTTGACACACCGTACGTATACGTACACGAAATATAAGTGTGTTGCAAAAGACCATGATGCCGTTGCACAAAGCGATCTTAGCACTCAGGACACCATAACTCTCATACCTTAACATAGACTTGCGTTAGTCTTAGTTGTACAACGGCACCCATGTTATTAGAAACTGGTGTGAGAATAATCTCAGTGATTAAAAGCAACCATGCAAATGTCAGATTAATGTAACTGTTGGCCAATATATTGTCTTGAACTCCAATCACTGATAGTAAAACGATTTAAGCCACATGCATGCATTCATAGTTGTCAAAGTGAAAACATGTTCAAAACATGCGACGATTTTAAAAAAAAACCCAAAGTCGTTGATATATTGTTATGATTACAACGCCTTTTTATCCATAAAATATAAAAAGTCGGAGGTATTGAATGACGGTCACGTGTTCATTATACCATGCATATTTTACTTCAAATATGTTTCACTGTTATAAGATTCTAATATTGCCTGTTGTTAAGAACATCCTTTTGACATTCGTCACCACTCGTCTCTTTCCGTATTGTGAATGTCCCGGGATTACAAGAGTGGATACGAATGGTCCAATTGGGTGAACTGCAGCTAATAGCAACGGACAGACACCAAGACGTATTGTGTGTATGTAGGGAACTCCTTCAACTTTGAAGAGTTTTTGATGCGAAAATTACAATTTCAGTGCGCTCAGTAATATAGGTTTTTATAGGTATCGGATAAAGCTGAACGAACCAAGTGCTGTTTGTCCTGAACAAGCCGAAGAACGCTTTTCACATAAACGGGCGAGTGGTGACGATTGGTGTCTGCTATTTGTAAACAATTCCGGAAGAAGCCGAATGTAGACCCTGTAGGTTACGGAGAGTAGCGAGTTGTGACGAATGACGTTTTTCACTTTAGTTGTAATATCCACTGTATCGGACGGGTGGGAAGTGGTTGAATCGGGTGGGTTCCTCGTAATGGGGTGGGTGGTACAGGCCCCACTTAGGGGGAGGAACTTCCATGGGGAAGGGTTTGGGAAAGGTCACGGTGCCCTGGAACCCCTTGTTGTGTGACATGGGCTTGATGACGTCTTTCATCATCACCTCGTTGGTGTAGGGGACGAAGTCGTCGTGTGTCCGACTGGTGGGCTTGGAGGGGCGTTCGTAGTGCCAGTTGATGTTCTTGTAGTCGGCTGGAAAACAATGGTGACAGGAATGAGTGCTCAAGTTCGATTAACTGGAGTCTAACTTTTTATGAAAACCCTGAAGTGGCGATGGTGATCGAACTTGACCACTTTGTGTGTGGTGCTGAAAGTACCGTATTTCCTCTATTAAACGCCGGGTCTCTAATAACCGCCGGGCCTCTAACAACCGCCGGGGATAAAGCAGTGCTTTAAGAAATAAGCGCCGGTCCTCTAATAAGCGCCGGGTATAGACCTTTGCATTTTTTTGCAAACGTATTCTCCCTTGGTCTTAAAATAAATATATTAAGGAAAGGTCCCTTAAATCATAACTTCATGTACACATCCCCGCTTTTAAAAATACAGGGTATTTTAATAAGGGCCGGGCCTCTAATAAGCGCCGGGTCTGGAGGTCCGTTGAAAAAATAAGCGGGGGCGCTTATTAGAGGAAATACGGTAAGTTTAGCTTTACGCCGCCCTCAGCAAAATTCCAGAAATGTACTACACACATTGTACCCATGTGGAGAAGAGAACCTGGGTCTATTGCTTTAACGCTTTAACCACTAGGCTACCCACCGTCCCTGTGCTGACCATGACCAAGTTAGGTAAGTAAGTGAGCTATTTGCCGCCTTGAAGACTCGTGCCGCCCCTCGACATAACTATAATGTATCTGAGCGCTGTTTCTTCTTTGCGCGAACCGATATGGCTGAAATACTGCCATGTGACTCAAACCTTTCTCACTCACTCCTTGTGCGAACACTACTATTTGAGTGATAAAGAAGCAATCTGTCCAGTGCTCAAACAGAGCATCTATCATGGAAGAAAGAGTTTCGATGCAATCAGAATTATTGAAAATGTTTTCCCAAAATTTAACAAATAATAATACATAATTATGTACGTAGTGGAACAACGTTAACATTAAATATATTATTTGGATTACTGTAATCCCTAGCTGTACAAAAACAAATTGGTATTTTTATGACCTATCTTGCATTACAGGATTAGCCTACATTACATCACAATCCTTATTGGGCCGACTGCTTGTATCGATGACAAAACATATATAGACAGGACAACGATTTAGCTGGATGTCAGTGTATATTAATGTCCACCAATGCCCTACCTCTCCTCACTGTATCCCTCCGCCGGTTGTACCAGTCTGGATGTTGTGACGTAGCACGACGTGCGTACCAGTCTGGGTGCTCCGCGCTCCACTTCCGCCATCCTGCCTGTTTTGTTGAAGGAAAGTAATGTATAACACATGAAACAAGGCTTTTGAAAAGGTTTCAGGACTGTTGGCCCTCAAATACAATTCTGTCGGTAGAGGTCGAACATTAAAATAATCATCAAAATAGTTGTAGTACGTTACTATGTATCTGTGTTGATAGCGAGAGTAAATGAGTTTTCTCGTACATTTTACGTATTTCCGGAATGAAGAAAACCTGCTGTTTTTACTTTTCAATATTCACATTCACATTTTGGGGAGATGGCTGATTCGTAAACTATGTTTTTAAAGCCTGTCCTTTAAGAGGCAAAAGAAAAGGTTTCATTGTATACTTGGGACTACATGTGATGGAGTTAAACTTTTCTAAACGTTTCATCTCACTCACGTGGGCAACATCAGGAGAGCTGCAGTGATAAGGGTTCCATTCGTGCAACTTGGGTTGCCTGAAACAACAAAAACATCCCCTTATAAAGATATGAACCCAGTCAGACGAACAACATTATATGGAGAAAACACTTCAATGCTAGATCTTTCAATGTTAAAGGATGTGATTCCTTATGAGAAAAGCGTGCAGCAATCGGAACCTTCCAGAGGGCTATTATTTACGATAAAGTCTTGAAACGCCGTAGAATCGTGTGCTGTTTGTTACACGTTGTACTCAACATTTGCAGCTATATGGCTTTTTGTGTAGCTTATTAAGTTGCATATATACTCATGCCAATAATGGTTGTCACCCCTTCAATTGTATTAATAGGCTGGGAGTGATAACCATTATTGGCATGAGTATAAGATGTAAGCAGGTATTATATGACCTTTGTATTTTAGGACAAAATAGAGATTCTAGTATTTTTGACCGTAACATGACTGTATTGTAGTAATTTATGTACCTCCGTAGAACAAAATGGTTGAACCCCATACACCCTTAAAATCATTATCATCATCACACACACGCGCGCGTCACACCCTTCCCCTAGCCATAAATTATGAAAGGTCCCTAATTACTGTCTATCGGGTCTTATTCGCATTCCTGTGAGATAAGCCGTTTATTTAGATAGCGTACGTGTAAAAACGGTTCTGAGACATGGCATTCAAATACAACTGACTGACTGACTGAGTTTAGTTTTACGCCGCTTTTATTTAGATATCACGGCGGGGACGTGTAAAATGGTTCTGGGACAAGGCATGTGAAATCGAACCATGTTTTCCATTTTTCCAACGCTTTAAACCACTAGGCTACCCCACCGGCCCCTTTCGAATACAATGTTTTTCTCCGTTTTTCTTCTTTAAACCGGCGGCGTGTAACTTTTCGAGTCTTCAGCAGCGTCCTACGCCGTAAACTGACAATCCGATCCGTAGTCGCAGTTTACCGGGGTCAGTGTGGCCTGGACATATAAAGGGTGCACTAAAATATCCCGTCATTGGAGATAGGTTCTCATAGGGGTATCGACATGACAACCAGAAATGTGTATTACACATGTTTCATTGTACCGGACACACTGACAAAGAAATATTTTTTCTCAAAATTATGATTAAACAACAGCAATAAACATACCATAATTTGGGTAATTTGGCGGGTGTAGACAGGAACTGTTGTGAGGCGGCCATACTTAGACCTCGGATGTGTCGCTTGTCAACAAAACGGGACAGGTGCGTTGGATGATGGAACAGTTCATCAGATGTAAAGTATCGGATTATGATACCTTATTGATGGATGAGTTAAAACATCAACCATTAATACAGAGCGATCGTTATACAGTACATGATAGGCATTCAACCCGCCTCGACGCCTTGCAGGGCTGTAAGCGGCCGTGTTTATGTATCGACGTCGCCATGGCAGCACGTTGCTAGCCCCTTCCAGCACGCACAATGTAAACAAACTCAACCAGTCAATTAGTATTATTTTTGCGCTTATTGACAGCGTATGTCGTGCAGAGAAATAAATTTTGAATTGGTAGGCATTCATATACCATAAAATTAAACGAAATTTATACCGGGAGTTTGTCTAGTGCATGTTGTGTGCGACCTTCAATAATACCTTTTCGTGTTGCAGGTGAAAGAAAGTCTGCTCCTAACATTGGTGGAGGACAGCGGAAGAACGGACAAACATGGCGGATACGTTGTTCTTCAACCGACCCCAGAGTCGATACCCTTACTGGGTTAACATTCCCCCGACTGTCCCGAAATATCCTTCGTCACAAGAAATGTTCAGGTATGCTTGCATTTTCACCCTTCACGTCTCCCTATATAGTGACAGCTCTTACTGTCGAGTGTGAAGTGTCTTCCTCAAAATGTTATTATCCGGTAACTTACTTGGGGTATGATGTTTATGACAGTATAGTTTGTATCACATTCATCAAAATACGATTCTTCGAACCATTTTTGTAAACGAGTGAAATGTGCCCAACCTGGGTCCCGTTTCACAAAGGTATCGTAGCGCCAAGGTGATGGTAAATCTTATACTTTAACATAGACTTACGACAGTCGTAGCGCTACGATCTTTTGTGAAACGGGGCCCCAAGTGACAAATACAGTTTTCGAGAAACGGTGCAGCTTAGAAATAGGCCTACTTTTGGTCATCCCAATTTTGTTAGTGAAAAGGAGTACATGAACCCATATATTGCGTTTGTATGTTGTTGTTGTTGTTGTAGTTTTAAGTGTAAGAGGATGATGGGGTAGTCTAGTGGTTAAAGCGTTCGCTCGTCACCCAGGAGACCATTTTCCATGTACATGCCGTGATATCTGCTGGAATATAGCTAAAAACAGCGTAACCCACCTCACTTTAAGACCTCCGGGTTTGAAATGACAGCCAATGATCGTCCTAAGAGGCGACTAACGGGATCGGGTGGTCAGGTACGCTGACTTGGTTGATGCATGTCATCGTATCCCAGTTGAATTGATCGATGCTCATAATGTCGATCACTTGATTGTCTGGTCCAGACTATGTTATTTACAGATCGCCGCTATGTGTGGCGTTAAACATTTTATTTCATATCTAATATTTTACTCATCATTTACCAGGCGAAGTGTTCCAGAAAAATACACGTCTAAAGTTGGCCGCGAGTCCTATCAGGTATGTATTCTCGGTCAGTGAAGCATCGTGACCATCAGATGCACATGCCCCAACCTTATTGATCTGGTTGTCTTTTCATGAAACTAAGTGAACACGTGCTTCCTTTCTGTCGACATGTGTGAAACATATATATGGCGTCCGAGAAGTAGTTATATGCGGGTTCCAAATTGTCTAATTAATGACAACATCGTTCCAAGACATAAAGGAATGGATATTGCCCCACATATTACACTCTCTGCCAAACTTAATGATTACATATCCTCGCACTGATGTTATGATCATAGTTTTGATGTAGTAGTGACTTGAGTGAGTGATATGGGATAGAATTCCAGTTGCACCACGTCAGTTTAAATATTGGAGAGAACAGTTGATTTCTAGGATATGGGGCCTGATAGCGTTCGTAGCGATAAAATATGTTTACGATAGGTCCTAATGTGACGAACGCTTTGTGGATCGAGACCCAGGTCTCAGAAATCAATGAGCACTGGCATGGTGCTGCCAGACCAAGGGGCATTATCAGCGTGAGTGCTATTGAAGTGACGATCATATGTTCCTGGCGTGTCCAAGGGACAAAACTCTGCACGGCGGATTGTGCCGCCTTAGACGATTGGGCGACCAAATCAAATAAAATACAACAAATCCACTTCACAAATAAGTGACATACAGGTTTACACTGTTCGACACACATATTTAGAACGACGTGGTACTGATTTTAATTAGTGTTGTTTTTGGTTTTTTTGGTTTTTGTAAAATAACAAACTTGCCAGGAACTTTCTTTTTTTCCCCCACACATATCATTCATCGAGGTTAAAGGAGGATTGACCTCAAACCAGTTTGCAGTCCTAGCAAGTCTGATTGAGGGTTCCGAAACCATATAGCTCTTTTATTGTCATACATTTTATGACCTTGAATAACTTAGCGGACAACTGATACTTTATAATGCTAATAAAATTGGAGACATGAGGCTATTGATAACAACGTTTAATTCAGCCCGGAACAAAGTTAGGGTAGCAAATGAGTTCAGGGTATCATAAAAGGATGGCGGTATCATAAAAGAAATGGGTCCCAGACCATGCAAAATATTATCAGGACGAGTCAAAATTAATCATTCATGTTAATGAACTTTTGGATAGCAGTAGTCGTGTCAAGAGCCCACACAAATAATGCAAATCAAGTATCAAGATAAGTGTATCGTGTCTACATTTTCGGGATATGTACATGTATCGATACGGATATTAGTTTATCAAGTCAAATATATAAAGAACTCTGTTCCAGCACTGGACAGACAAATGGTACGACAATGGTGAACCAATGCGCCGCCAGGAGGAGCTACCAAAGGTCGTTGACCGACACGAGCCATGTCAACGTCCTTGGGAGTACAGAATGGGCACTTCCGCTATCCCCAAATGGTCACGTGAGGGCAAGGACTGGCCAGTCGACGACAGGAAGTACCTAAGATCAGGTCGACCGGTCACCGAAACTATGCGAGCCCGGGGCATGAACCGTCTGAGCGCTCGGGAAGATAACCTCTACCCGTTCTCAAACTACATGACCTCTACATACCGGAAACCTGTATATTCCATATACGGCCCCCTACAGCGGCCCCAGGTGTACGGCATCACGCACCAACACAACCAACACGGATTCATGCCCTTTGAGGATTACTATTAATAGTGTTGTATAACTGGTTAAATATTTGATACCAGTTACGTTTGTACATAAGGTATATGCATAATGTTTTGTCTTTGATTGTCATTCTTTGTAACAGAAGCAGATTTTTCGTTTTGTAAGCTACTGGTGCTGAAAATATAAAAAATGGTCATATGATCAAATATGTTTTGAAAACAATTATCTCGTCGCTTTAGTGTTTCCTGAATGTCCTTTACGATCAAACATCTCAGAGCGAGGTCAGTGTAACCATTGTAGAAGCGTTTGTGTCGGAGGGAAACGTGTCTGGGCCTAGATTTTCGAAGCTCTCTTAGTCGTAACTTAATGTTAATGTATGGCACTTGACGACTATCTTAGCGCTCAGAGAGCTTGCGAAAATCTAGGCCCTGGTTTGTTTGAGGATGGGTCTTAAGTGTATCCAGCTGGTGCAGGGATGGAGATAGTTGAGTTATGGGAAAATACTTTTTGATAATTGGAACAATTTGCGAAGATTCGTAATGTATTCAGTACATTTATTTTTGTAAACTCAAACTGCATCACGTATGCTTAATCATGCTAAGTGTTTAGACAATACCATTTTTGGCTTTGTTTTGAAGAGTTCCGAATAACACTTGAACAACACCAGAGTTTCCCTCAAGGCACTGTAAATTGGTACATCCTTTATTTTATTTCGTACAAAGGATTGTATATGTAGACATAGAAATTTTACATGTTGTCCTCGATGCGCCCTTTCCGGGCTGCAAGCTGGAGAGTAGTAGACAGGTTCAGACAGTGTTTTAACTCACTTTTAACAGGACAAGGTGTCACAACTTTGAATGCAATACCTGTCGTTACATACGTTCGCTACCTCAATGCATGTCACACTTTGGATGTAATGTGTAGTTTGTGTACGTTGTTCAAACTCAGCCCCTTCTCAATGCTGCGACATTGGATGTGTAAATAACTACCCACTGACAACAGATCATGGCACTTGTATATATAAGTCTTTTGGATGAACTTGTAAAGAAATAAACCAACAACCTATCCCGTGTGTTGGTTGTGCTTTCAGACCGCTTCGTGGTCAAGTGGATAGAGCGTTTGTCTAGGGAGCGGAAGGTCTGCGGCCGATGCCCAGCCGCGTTAAACCAAAACTTGGTAAAACTGGCACTTGATGTTACCCTGCCTGGGCGCATGGAGATGTTTTGTGAGTCATACTCAAGATTCTAAGATGCTTCGGTGAAAGATCAAACTTTCTTACACACCCGTGGGTGAGAAACCCATCCGAGAAAACTGGTATCACACATGTGTGAGATCGATTTCTAATCCCGTTATTGGCTACTCCATGGTGATGACCTAGGGTCAGGGTATGACGGACTACTTTCCTGATTAAAATTCATTGATAAGTTACTCGTGCTTCAATTGAACAGAAACCTGTTACTCGTGCAAAAATACCCCTTTACACACCCTACCTGTTATTTTCGCGATTGCAACATAAACAGGTATTTATACAATGAGTCACAAGTAGAATAAATATAACACAAATCTATTTATTTTCTAATTCCTTCTTTATTAAGACTTTTGATTTCTAGTCATGGGATTCAAAATGGCTCCAACAATCAGAGATACCTGTGTAAACAATTATGTGAAAATCACCGTCACACTGGTACTTTTACTGGAGAGATGCGACAAGTGTCGTGTCGTCTTGCAAAAATACCTGACACGATAACGTCAGTGCCTGTCCATTGTGAGATCGATTTGCCCTCGTTGTTTCTTTGATGCATTGATGAAAGATGACATTTTTCACTGACACACATAATGAAGACCCACTTCCAGCCCGAGATACTATATGTGATTCCAATGTTATCAAATTCACCCATGACAATCTGAACCAAAACACACTCGTTGAAACAATGTACAACATGGTACGTTTTGCAAGGCTTCATGAGTGCAAATGGCGGCACACGTCCTTTCTATTCCAATCGAACATGTATACAGGAACAGTTGATCTACGCATAAGTCATTGCTCAAGATATTCCTCCTACGCATGATAATGAAAAGTTTATGTCTTGATAACTTACAGGATGTAATCAACTCACATTTCATACTGAAAACTCCGTAAATTGCATTACATTCCAAGTGGCAGTTTCTGGTTCAGGAAAACGAGAAGGATGTGGCGAAGAAGAGTAGTCCCCATTGACAGTGAACGTAACCTCGTGCAATGTCACATTCAAAGGCACACTTGGGTGCACCTAATTACACACACCTCAATAGTTTTGGCTCCGGTCGATGGGAGAACATTGAACGTAAACTGGTACACAAGTACAGATCCCCAATGTGCAGAGATATCCAAAACAATCTTCCGATGACGACACCACCAAGCGATAACGATGACGTCACTCGCTCAAATATTTTACGCTTGCAAGAATTAAAATCATCCACATTTGCATGGTAACATCATCGTTTTAGAGGGTTTAATTAAAACTGTTGTTTAAAACGTATTTAACTCGCTTTCGCCTCGTTAAATACGTTTTGAAACAACTCGTTGTAAGATAAATGGTATCTGACAGACACTCTCGTTTAGTAATCTCTATTTATTACCCACGTGGTCAACGTATGGGTAGTTGCATATTAATCTCGTACGTCACACGAGTGTCGTATCGCGTTGACATGTGTCGTAACGACTTGACCTGAGAGTAACGATTTGATTGGATAACCGATGACCTCTCAATTAGGTCACATTCTGACGTAACTATTTGTTCATTCATAACAAACACGTGAATTCATTCATTCTACAACTTAAATGCATTGTGGAATGTAAACATTGCGAACGTTGCCGTGTCGCTGTTTAATTGTGAGTCGAACTGAGACATTATATCCGTCGAAAACATAAACGCAATGTTTCCACCAGTGATGTTAGCCGAATGAAGCAACTGGAAACCAAGAAACGAGGTGCAACGGAGTAGTTTACTGTAGGAATCTGTACGAGGCGATGACAACTGACATGCATCGTGACGTCGGTTACCATGGCAGTGACGTCATTAGTGTGACGTCATGCAAATATTGTACTACAGTACAAAACTCTTCCGCAACCTCTTTATGAAACCGGTTTCGGTTTGAAACCAAAACATAAAAAAATACGCTATTTTGTCAATTTAAATGCATGTAAGACGTGGGTAATAAATAATATTATCTCGGTCTTCATTACATACGAATTATACGAAACTCGTGATCTTCCTATAGTTATCCGACCTCGCTTCGCCTCGGTCAGATACCATAAGAAGGACACTCTGTTTCGTATAATTCTGTATGTAATGAGACCTCGTGTAGTATTCTCTATTTATCAGGCGATAATGTGCACTTTTTGCATTACGTCACAATGTATTGGCGTCACTGCGCCATTCCAGTCTGCCCCCTCGTAATCGAACACTTTTGCATTACGTCACAATGTAAGCGACGTCACGATGCATGTCAGTTGTCATCGCCTCGTACAGCCTCCTACAGTAAACTACTCACTTGCATCCCGTTTCTTGGTTTCCAGTTGTTTCACACAGATAGCATCACTGGTGGATTCATTACGTTTATGTTTTCCGACGGTTAAAATGTCCTCGTGCTTTAACTATAATAGTTCAGGGCGAAAGTGTGCTTTATTACACTATACATGGTGGTAGAGCGAACTGTGTTTCTTAAATAGTGGACATAGACAGGTGCGTCACATTTCTGTAAACGCACGTAAAATACCTCGATTCAACAGAAATTCAAGGGCCGTAACTCGTGCTAGTTTTGCATCACTTCAGCCGCTTCAGCCAATATTTTATGGGTGCTTTTCAAACTTCAGTTGCTCACTCAGTTGACTAATGACATAAATGCAACATAAGGAGAAATACAGACCCGTGCAAGAAATATTCGGACCCTTGACGTAATTTCCATAGACTTTCGTGTTATTTCAGTGTAGCATAAATAATTTTCATGAAGTGAGTTTAGTATGGACCTTTGTAAAATTAGACAGGCAAATTTGAAATCATCTCTGCTCTGCGCACATAATTTCGGTTCAATTTTCCGACCACTATTTAACTAATGACATCACATTTATCAACGTGCGTATGGTTCCACAATGGACAATCCCATAGTTCGCCATGTTAAAGGAGTTCACGGCACTGTACATATGTTGATTACATTTTTGCCGGAAAACGGAATATTAAACAGAAATTATTATGATTGTAGGTAAGATGATTCTTCACAAATGTGCAAAATTTGACTTGGATCTTACGAAAATTAAATTCATGAAAATGATTTATGCTACACTAAATTAACAAGTAAGTCTATGGAAATTACGTCAAGCGTTCGAATACTTTTTGCACGGGTCTGTATATATATTTATTTCACAGACATTTCATCAACGATAAAGTAGTAACAAATAATTGTACATGACTACACAATGCCATATAGAAAGTGGTGAAATGTAACATATGTTATATTTGGTATAACACTTTCTTAGTAAAGTACAAATTCTAGTACGTTTTGGGGATGAGTCCTATCCGGAATTTAAACCAACACCATCAGAGTCAGGCACCAAATCGCCATCACACAAAGTCAGCCGCCTAACCCGCACAGCCACCGCGACTTCCACAAAAATGGAAGTCGGACAACTTTGTACTTTACTAAGAAAGTGTAATCCCAAATATAACATGTTACATTTCACCACTTTCTAAATGGCATTGTGTAGTCATAGCTTCCGGCCATGAGAGCCGTTCCAATTTACACTTGTCAGAGGGGTACACAAAGTCCGCAGTCTAGACTACCAGTTGTCCGACTTCCATTTTTGTGGAATAGTCCAATAGTAAATTGTGCGTAACGAGAGTCACGGCAGGATGATGTAAAAACAAACATGGACGTGAGAGATGAATTCACCGATTTGAAAATAAAGGTTGATTGAAACGATGTATGGCGCTTTTACCTCACCTTAATTTGTTCTGTCTGTTGAAGTGAAATACGCAGTATTTGTCTGAGAATTCATGATTTCAGAACTGTGCTACAAAGGCAGTAATGTACGTAACATTTCATGTTCATGGAACCCTTTTAAGAAACAAACACATTCAAATACTTCTTTTTGAAATAATTGCGTAGATTATCGTGTAATTGTCGACTTGTCTCTTGTCTCTAAACGTTTGTATTTAGTGAACACCACACGAACCAAATGATGTACAGAGTGGTGCAAAAAGTATTCGTACACTTGACGTCATTTCCATAGACTTACATGTTATTTCAGTGTAGCATAAATAATTTTCATGAAGTGAGTTTGGGATGTATCTTTGTATAATTCTACTGGCAAATTTGAAATCATCTCATCTAAGCACATAATTTCAGTTCAATTTTCAGACCACTATTTAACTAATGACATCACATTTATCAACTTACGTATGGTTCCACAATGCACAATCCCATAGGCCGCCATGTTAGAGGAGTTCACGGCATTGTACATACCTTGATTAAATTGTTGCCATTTGATAAATAAGCAACGGAAAATTAAACAGAAATTATGTAATTTTAGGTAAGATGATTCTTCACAAATGTGCAAAATTTGACTTGGATCTTACGAAAATTTAATTCATGAAAATGATTTCTGCTAAACTAAATTAACATGTAAGTCTATGGAAATTACGTCAAGCGTCCGAATACTTTTTGCACGACTCTGTAGTTTGAAATTACACGGACATGGTTTTGGGTCGAAAAGATAAGTGACCTTTGAAGATCTCAACAGGAACTATTCTTTGATATTCATGACAGTTATTTTGTTGCGTTTTTATCACCAGAGTATTCTCCACTACGGTAAGAAAGAAGAAAATATCTCTGTTAACCTCTGTTTAATACTGATGAATGTAATCGAGTATCGCTTTCACCGTAACGTACATTACTTAGCTACGTTTTTGGAAACTCGAACCATTACCTTGAGTCGCAAAATAGTATGTTTAAAACAAAGATTACTTGACAACTCTTGTTGTATTTTATGTACCAAATACTCTGAAATATTCTTATAGTTAATGAAAACATATTAACTTTATTTTTCGGCTTTTGATATGATCAAATGAGCCCATTTAATGATGTGGGAATGTAATCCTTGGAATTTCCGATTTACATGTATAAAGAAGAAAATATATGTCCATGGCGACGAAATATAGCTATAATATGCTCTGAGAAAAATCAAATCTCAATCGCGTATGTTTTCAGTTTATAAAAACTACTTAAAAACGTGATAGGTCTCGTGGCCATAAATCATTTTAGTGAATATAAGTAACTCATTAAACTCCGGTTATTCATTTTAATTTGAAAAATCATTTGGTGTATACCCTTTTTCAGTAAAAAAATAGTCGAATTCAAGTATTTAACAATAAAACCTCAGTTTGCACCTGCAAATAATTAAATTTACGTAAGTGAGAGAAGAAACTCTAAAAGCTGTAAAGGGTGGCTTTAGGAACCCGGCTAGGTACTTCGGGTACCTGGTTCAGGGGCGTAGGAACGGTTTTCAGAGCTGGGGAGGGGGGCTAATTTATGAAAAGTATTGAAAATCAAATGAAATTGTAGTTATGGTAAGGTAGATATAGTTTCGTCTTGAAAAAGTGGGGGCTAAGCCCCACCCCTACCCCCACCCCCCGTTCCTACGCCCCTGTGGTTCCATAATTTCTACCCGTCCAAGCCCCACTTTCAATCCCAAAGTGAAACAAAGGAACGGTAGCGAGATGCGAATAAAGGGAGATCACTCTAGTTTCGTCTCCCTCTATCGCTGTACGGAATGAATTCAATCAAGTAAGTTAATTCCTGAAACAATATGTTCGTGAAGTTATTCAACGTCTGAAAACGATATTGGTAATGACGTTATATTTATTAGACGCAGCCCTACATTATACATTTGATAACATAATGTTACCACATGCATTAGAGCGAGTATACTTTCAGTTTATGACAATCTTAAAGTTTGGAACTTGAGTCGAACAACTCTTATGGCAAGTCATGCTACCTTTATAAATGTTCACTATCCAGCATTTCCAACACATGTATATTAGCATTCGTCAGTCACATACTCTAATCCATATAGTGTTATTTTTTAAGATATATAAAGCAATTTCACGTTGAAGAATGCTGAAGATATGTGCTGATGAGGCTAACACAAACAGACAATATTCATATTTAGCAACTACGTACAGACGAGGATGTTGTCGTGTGCATTGAACCTTTGCCAGCAAGAACATTGTCTAATATCAGCCCTACAACCTAGTCAACCATGTCATCATCTTTAATATAACAATAAATAGGGAAAATACTATTTTTGACACAGAAATGGAACATAAGGAGTCGAAGGAAGAGAACACATTTGCAGAAGATGGAGAAGAAGATTTCACAGATGTAAAAGAAGATTTCACAGATGGAGAAGAAGATTTCACAGATGCAGGACAGGACACTGATGTCACCGATGCATTTGAACATTGTCTGCATGTCGCAGATACAGTTGTTGCTGAGCAGGCCGATGCCAATGAAGAAGCTAGTGATACAGAGTCCGAAGATAAATATGGGCTACAACAAAAAATATTTGTGGGGAATGTCGGATATAGGGTAATACATATCATGGAACTGAAAACAAATGTAACATTTTTATGACAGTACAAGATTGTGAACACTTAGTGGCACTCTTCATATTAATTCATGATACAGATGAAGTCTTTCTGCTTCAGAAATGTCTTTTTGATGAATATTGCCCCAAAAAGATGTGCAGGTGATAATCTCTGGATGTCATATTACTGTAGTGTTGCTGAATATGGGGAAAACACACTCACTCACTTTACTCACTCACTCACTCACTCACTTGCTCACTCACTTGCTCACTCACTTGCTCACTCACTCACTCACTCACTCACTCACTCACTCACTCACTCACTTACTTACTTACTTACTCACTTACTCACTCACTCCATTTCAGGTTAGCTGGCATCAACTGAAAGATTTCTTCTATAAGTTTGGAAAGGTTACATACACCCATGTAGTGAAGGATCATTTGAAGAAGAGGCCCAGAGGGTATGTGGTATGGTGATGCTGTTTGATTAAATCATAACAATTATATCTGAATGTTATTCAGGACCTGGTCAATCATTATAGGGATGATGGGGGCATAAGAAATCTTTCATCAAGTATGGAAGGGAAGAGATGTAGCAAATACGACCAATCGCTCTATCCCATCCCACCCCAATCCCTTACCTATGATAAATTACTAGTGTTTTACAATGTTTCTTATTAGATTAAATATAATGAATTATGTACTTTGTGCCTTAATAGTATAATGGGTTTTAACAAATGAACTGTTTGAATGTTGGAAAACATTTCTTCTTGAATTGCTCTCTACACAGGTTGAGATCTTCAGGACATAGGTTGAAATATAAATATGTTACTATACAGTTTTTAAAATTTTTGGTATATTTGAGCATTTGCAAATGTTGTATGTCTATCAGGATAGCATTCGTGTCATTCGCCACCAAGGAGGAGGCAGACAGTGCTCTACAGGCATCGAGGGATGAGCTGGTGTTGGAGGGGAGGTAACTCTACAAGTTTCTGTGCAGTCCAACCTAATCTGCTTATCACACTATGAATGATCTTAACATTCAGAGAGTCGAAACCCTTTACAAACACACACACACTTCTTACAACATGATCATTATGTAATTAACACCTTAACTTCACTTATACTGTACTCACCCTTGTCTACTGTGATGTCACTTGCATTGTGACGTCATAACTCAGTTATGACGTCATAGTGACGACGTCATAGTCCCAGCTGTCAGTTCACCTGATGAAAGGACCTGGAATGGTCTCGAAACGTCGTGAGGGAAATTATAAAGAAGTTTAATCCATAAAAATATCTTGGACATGATCAGTGTTGATTCTATGTCCCAGAAGGTCCCCATCATCCGATGGTTGTTAGTGAGTGAGTGAGTGAGTTTAGTTTTATGCAGCACTCAGCAGTATTCCAGCAATATGGCTGGGGTCTGTAAATAATCAAGTCTGGACCAGACAATCCAGTGATCAACAGCATGAACATCAATCTACGCAGTTGGGATACATTGACATGTGTCAACCAATTCAGTGAGCCTGACCACCTGATCCCGTCGGTCACCTCTTATTTACAAGCATGGGTTGCTGAAGTTTAATTGTAACCCAGATCTTCACGGACCTGCTGGTTATTAGAGGCAAGTTAGTGGATTGGGTGGTCTATCACTGTGGGGGCGGTGGGGTAGCCTAATGGTTAAAGCATCTGCTCATCACTCTGAAGACCTGGGTTCGATTCCCCACATGAGTACAACTGTGTGCAGCCTATTTCTGGTGTTCCCCGCCGTGATATTGCTTGAATATTGCTAAAAGTGGCGTAAAACCATACTCATTCACTATTGCTGGTAACTATTACTGTGACTTGATTAATGACATGTCATCGTATCCTGCTAGCGTGGATTGTTGCTGTCAACATCAATCTCTGACATGTCTGCTATATATATGTATTACCCAGGTGGTAATCTCGTACGTCACATGAGTGTCGTATCGTGTTGACCTGTGTGACAGTGTGATGTCATGCAAAAAGTGTACTACAGAACACAATTCTTCCGCAACCTCTTTATAAAACCGGTTTCGGTTTGAAGCCATAAAAGTAACAAAAATACGCTATTTTGTAAATTTTATGCATGTAAGACGTGGGTAATAAATAAAATACCACACTCAGTCTTATTAGATATGAATTATATGAAACTCGTGACCTAACTATGGTCTCTGACCTTACTTCCGCTCGGTCAGATACCATAGGAAGGACACTCGTTTCATATAATTTGTATGTAATGAGACCTCGAGTAGTATTCTCTATAGTTATTTTCATAAAACTGGGATAGTGCTTCGTGTGACTTAAAACAACAAACAAGCATGTCATTCAGCATTAAAGAAGCAATGCCAGAGATATATGTGTGAGGTTCACCAATGACTTCACAACTATCAATGATGACTCAAGATCCTTTTTGACAAAGATGTCTGAATCAGTGGTTCATATTGTACACTTATTCAGATATATCCAGTACTTTTACCAAATAGTTTGTTAACATTCCTATCTTGTCATGACATGGTAGAAAGAAGTGGTTAAGGAACTCCTCAACATGTCATAAAATTGTAAGTTATGTTTTATGTGGTATGTCCATATATGTACTCTTATGCTAGGGGTGTCCACAAACGTGCATCTTACCAATATATTGATATAAATCGTGATACTTGAGTTAATATAATATTCTGCATGTTTTCAGTGGCCAGGATATTGCTAAACTTTGTAAATAAAATTACAGAATTAAATCATGAACCAGTACATGGGAAGACCTATTTTGTATTGTATTGCCAGGTGTAAATTCATCATTGTTTAACTGTGATGTCCCTACTCCTTCTGTGTCATGTTGTAAGGAGAAATGACTACAGTATTGTGGCAAAAGTACTGTGATGTGCTGATAACTGTCTCAATAGGCCTATTTTTTAGAGGTATCAGCTGCTATATTTCTGTTGATTTATGAAGGCCTCCATGTCCGTACAGTAAATGTTTGGCGGTTCAATTCCTGGCCATATCAGACCAAAAGATGGTACTTGTTGTTACCTTTCCTGATGCTTGGTTTGAAAGAGAGTGTGAGCGAGTGAGTTTAGTTTTACGTCGCACTCAGCAATATTCCAGCTATATGGCGGCGGTCTGTAAATAATCAGGTTTGGACCAGACAATCCAGTGATCAACATCATGAGTATTAAGCTACACAATTGGGATATAATGACATGGGTCAACCAAGTCAGCGAATCTGACCACCTGATCCCGTTGGTCGCCTGTTACGACAAGGGTTGCTGAAGATCAATTCTAACCGGGATCTTCATGGGTCGGTATGAAGGCGAGAATTGGTTGCCTCAGAGTCTGAGTGGGTTATTCATGTTCAAAACTGGCAAACTATCTCAGTGGGACTGCCCTATAAAACTGGGATTAGTGTAGACAAGTACAAGCCACCCAACACACATCTACGCGCTCACGCACGCACGCACACACACGCACATGGCATGATGCACGCACTCACACGCAATTGTACATGTTACTATATATATCCAAGTAACTTGAATACGAAGTTTAACCCCATTTTACCTCAACCCACATCTTGTTTTCCCATCAGGAATTTACGAGTTCACCGAGCAGAAGAATCGAAGAGGACAACATTCAAGAAGTTCACTGGAATCCCTGCTTTGACAACTGAAGCTGGCGATACAACCAAGGTCGGTGACAAGTTCAAACACCAGGGATTTATGTGAGGCTGAGATGCAGTTATAATTCAGCATCAGATTTCCAGCAAATTCCAGTTTTCAAATTGGAGTTCAGTATATCCCAATGTCTTTGATAGTTCATGCTGTAGCAAACAAGGGCTACTTGTATTCATTGATAACCTATAAAGAACCAGTCATACCTATGAAGAGCCTTAATACTTAGTTATTATGTCATAACATTTAATATAACATTTAATTCAGTGTTTAAGGAAATAAAACTTTAAAAAAACTTATTGTAAGCAAATATTTTGGTAATATGCAATGATATTATTCATAGTGCATTCTGGCTCAGGAAAAACAAACAAAGCATTATGTATCCAGGTTGTACACAAACAAACAAAGCATTATGTATCCAGGTTGTTCACAAACAAACAAAGCATTATGTATCCTGGTTGTTCACAAACAAACAAAGCATTATGTATCCAGGTTGTTCACAAACAAACAAAGCATTATGTATCCAGGTTGTTCACAAACAAACAAAGCATTATGTATCCAGGTTGTTCACAAACAAACAAAGCATTATGTATCCAGGTTGTTCACAAACAAACAAAGCATTATGTATCCAGGTTGTTCACAAACAAACAAAGCATTATGTATCCAGGTTGTTCACAAAACAAACAAAGCATTATGTATCCAGGTTGTTCACAAACAAACAAACAAAGCATTATGTATCCAGGTTGTTCACAAACAAACAAACAAAGCATTATGTATCCAGGTTGTTCACAAACAAACAAAGCATTATGTATCCTGGTTGTTCACAAACAAACAAACAAAGCATTATGTATCCAGGTTGTTCACAAACAAACAAAGCATTTATGTATCCAGGTTGTTCACAAACAAACAAAGCATTATATATCCTGGTTGTTACAAAAAACAAACAAAGCATTATGTATCCAGGTTGTTCACAAACAAACAAAGCATTATGTATCCAGGTTGTTCACAAACAAACAAAGCATTATATATCCTGGTTGTTACAACCAACAAACAAAGCATTATGTATCCAGGTTGTTCACAAACAAACAAAGCATTATATATCCTGGTTGTTCACAAACAAACAAAGCATTATATATCCAGGTTGTTCACAAACAAACAAAGCATTATGTATCCAGGTTGTTCACAAACAAACAAAGCATTATGTATCCAGGTTGTTCACAAACAAACAAAGAATTATATATCCAGGTTGTTCACAAACAAACAAAGCATTATGTATCCAGGTTGTTCACAAACAAACAAAGCATTATGTATCCAGGTTGTTCACAAACAAACAAAGCATTATGTATCCAGGTTGTTCACAAACAAACAAAGCATTATGTATCCAGGTTGTTCACAAACAAACAAAGCATTCCAGGTTGTTCATGTATCCATCCAGGTTGTTCACAAACAAACAAAGCATTATATATCCAGGTTGTTCACAAACAACAAACAAAGCATTATATATCCAGGTTGTTCACAAACAAACAAAGCATTATATATCCAGGTTGTTCACAAAACAAACAAAGCATTATATATCCAGGGATTGTTCACAACAAACAAAGCATTATATATCCAGGTTGTTCACAAACAAACAAAGCATTATATATCCAGGTTGTTCACACAAACAAAGCAAACAAAAACAAACAAAGCATTATGTATCCAGGTTGTTCACAAACAAACAAAGCATTATGTATCCAGGTTGTTCACAAACAAACAAAGCATTATATATCCAGGTTGTTCACAAACAAACAAAGCATTATATATCCAGGTTGTTCACAAACAAACAAAGCATTATGTATCCAGGTTGTTCACAAACAAACAAAGCATTATATATCCAGGTTGTTCACAAACAAACAAAGCATTATATATCCAGGTTGTTCACAAACAAACAAAGCATTATGTATCCAGGTTGTTCACAAACAAACAAAGCATTATGTATCCAGGTTGTTCACAAACAAACAAAGCATTATATATCCAGGTTGTTCACAAACAAACAAAGCATTATATATCCAGGTTGTTCACAAACAAACAAAGCATTATATATCCAGGTTGTTCACAAACAAACAAAGCATTATATATCCAGGTTGTTCACAAACAAACAAAGCATTATGTATCCAGGTTGTTCACAAACAAACAAAGCATTATATATCCAGGTTGTTCACAAACAAACAAAGCAAATATATCATTATATATCCAGGTTGTTCACAAACAAACAAAGCATTATATATCCAGGTTGTTCACAAACAAACAAAGCATTATATATCCAGGTTGTTCACAAACAAACAAAGCATTATATATCCAGGTTGTTCACAAACAAACAAAGCATTATATATCCAGGTTGTTCACAAACAAACAAAGCATTATATATCCAGGTTGTACACAAACAAACAAAGCATTATATATCCAGGTTGTTCACAAACAAACAAAGCATTATATATCCTGGTTGTTCACAAACAAACAAAGCATTATATATCCAGGTTGTTCACAAACAAACAAAGCATTATATATCCAGGTTGTTCACAACAAACAAAGCATTATATATCCAGGTTGTTCACAAACAAACAAAGCATTATATATCCTGGTTGTTCACAAACAAACAAAGCATTATATATCCAGGTTGTTCACAAACAAACAAAGCATTATATATCCAGGTTGTTCACAAACAAACAAAGCATTATATATCCAGGTTGTACACAAACAAACAAAGCATTATATATCCAGGTTGTTCACAAACAAACAAAGCATTATATATCCTGGTTGTTCACAAACAAACAATTATATATATCAGGTTGTTCAAAGCAAACAAAGCATTATATATCCAGGTTGTTCACAAACAAACAAAGCATTATATATCCAGGTTGTTCACAAAACAAACAAAGCATTATATATCCTGGTTGTTCACAAAACAAACAAAGCATTATATATCCAGGTTGTTCACAAACAAACAAAGCATTATATATCCAGGTTGTTCACAAACAAACAAAGCATTATATATCCAGGTTGTTCACAAACAAACAAACAAAGCATTATATATCCAGGTTGTTCACACAAACAAACAAAGCATTATGTATCCAGGTTGTTCACAAACAAACAAAGCATTATATATCCAGGTTGTTCACAAACAAACAAAGCATTATATATCCAGGTTGTTCACAAACAAACAAAGCATTATATATCCAGGTGGTTGTTCACAAACAAACAAAGCATTATTATATCCAGGTTGTTCACAAACAAACAAAGCATTATGTATCCAGGTTGTTCACAAACAAACAAAGCATTATGTATCCAGGTTGTTCACAAACAAACAAAGCATTATGTATCCAGGTTGTACACAAACAAACAAAGCATTATGTATCCAGGTTGTACACAAACAAACAAACAAAGCATTATATATCCAGGTTGTTCACAAACAAACAAAGCATTATGTATCCAGGTTGTTCACAAACAAACAAACAAAGCATTATGTATCCAGGTTGTACACAAACAAACAAAGCATTATGTATCCAGGTTGTACACAAACAAACAAAGCATTATGTATCCAGGTTGTACACAAACAAACAAAGCATTATGTATCCAGGTTGTTCACAAACAAACAAAGCATTATATATCCAGGTTTGTTCACAAACAAACAAAGCATTATATATCCAGGTTGTTACAAACAAACAAACAAAGCATTATGTATCCAGGTTGTTCACAAACAAACAAACAAAGCATTATGTATCCAGGTTGTTCACAAACAGACAAACAAACAAAGCATTATGTATCCAGGTTGTTCACAAACAAACAAAGCATTATGTATCCAGGTTGTTCACAAACAAACAAAGCATTATATAAAACAAACAAAGCATGTATATCCAGGTTGTTCACGAAACAAACAAAGCATTATATATCCCAGGTTGTTCACAAACAAACAATTATGTATCAAGGTTGTTTACAAAAACAAACAAAGCATTATGTATCCAGGTTGTTCACAAACAAACAAAGCATTATGTATCCAGGTTGTTCACAAACAAACAAAGCATTATATATCCAGGTTGTTACACAAACAAACAAAGCATTATGTATCCAGGTTGTTCATAAAACAAACAAAGCATTATGTATCCAGGTTGTTCACAAACAAACAAAGCATTATATATATCATGTTGTTCACAAACAAACAAAGCATTATATATCCAGGTTGTTACAAACAAACAAACAAAGCATTATGTATCCAAGTTGTTCACAAACAAACAAAGCATTATATATCCAGGTTGTTCACAAACAAACAAAGCATTATATATCCAGGTTGTTCACAAACAAACAAAGCATCATGTATCCAGGTTGTTCACAAACAAACAAAGCATTATGTATCCAGGTTGTTCACAAAACAAACAAAGCATTATGTATCCAGGTTGTTCACAAACAAACAAACAAAGCATTATGTATCCAGGTTGTTCACAAACAAACAAAGCATTATGTATCCAGGTTGTTCACAAACAAACAAAGCATTATGTATCCAGGTTGTTACAAACAAACAAATAAAGCATATGTATCCAAGGTTGTTCACAAACAAACAAAGCATTATGTATCCAGGTTCACAAACAAACAAAGCATTATGTATCCAGGTTGTTCACAAACAAACAAACAAAGCATTATGTATCCAGGTTGTTCACGAACAAACAAACAAAGCATTATGTATCCAGGTTGTTCACAAACAAACAAAGCATCATGTATCCAGGTTGTTCACAAACAAACAAACAAAGCATTATATATCCAGGTTGTTCACAAACAAACAAACAAATAAAGCATCATGTATACAGGTTGTTCACAACAAAACAAAGCATTATGTATCCAGGTTGTTCACAAACAAACAGCATTATGTATCAAGGTTGTTCACAAACCAAAAACAAAGCATTATGTATCCAGGTTGTTCACAAACAAACAAAGCATTATATATCCAGGTTGTTCACAAACAAACAAAGCATTATGTATCCAGGTTGTTACAAAAAACAAACAAAGCATTATGTATCCAGGTTGTTCACAAACAAACAAACAAAGCATTATGTATCCAGGTTGTTCACAAACAAAAACAAAGCATTATGTATCCAGGTTGTTCACAAACAAACAAAGCATTATGTATCCAGGTTGTTCACAAAACAAACAAAGCATTATGTATCCAGGTTGTTCACAAACAAACAAAGCATTATATATATCCATGTTGTTCACAAACAAACAAAGCATTATGTATCAAGGTTGTTCACAAACAAAGCAACAAACAAAGCATTATGTATCCAGGTTGTTCACAAACAAACAAAGCATTATGTATCCAGGTTGTTCACAAACAAACAAAGCATTATTTATCAAGGTTGTTCAAAACCAACAAACAAAGCATTATGTATCCAAGTTGTTCACAAACAAACAAAGCATTATATATCCCAGGTTGTTCACAAACAAACAAAGCATTATGTATCCAGGTTGTTCACAAACACACAAAGCATTATGTATCCTGGTTGTTCACAAACAAACAAAGCATTATGTATCCAGGTTGTTCACGAACAAACAAAGCATTATGTATCCAGGTTGTTCACAAACAAACAAAGCATTATGTATCCAGGTTGTTCACAAACAAACAAAGCATTATAAATCATGTATACAGGTTGTTCACAAACAAACAAAGCATTATGTATCCCAGGTTGTTCACAAACAAACAAAGCATTATGTATCCAGGTTGTTCAAACCAACAAACAAAGCATTATGTATCCAGGTTGTTCACAAACAAACAAAGCATTATGTATCCAGGTTCACAAACACACAATTATGTATCAAGGTTGTTGACACAAACAAAACAAATAAAGCATCATGTATCCAAGTTGTTCACAAACAAACAAAGCATTATGTATCCAGGTTGTTCACAAACAAACAATTATTATATCAAGGTTGTTACAAAAACAAACAAAGCATTATGTATCCAGGTTTTCCTGTTTGTTCAAACAAACAAAGCATCATGTATCCAGGTTTTTCACAAACAAACAAACAAAGCATTATGTATCCAGGTTGTTCACAAACAAACAAACAAAGCATTATGTAATCAGGTTGTTCACAAACAAACAAAGCATAGGTATCCACTTTGTTCACAAACAAACAAAGAATTATGTATCAAGGTTGTTACAAACCAACAAACAAAGCATTATGTATCCAGGTTGTTCACAAACAAACAAAGCATTATGTATCCAGGTTGTTCACAAACAAACAAAGCATTATGTATCCAGGTTGTTCACAAACAAACAAAGCATTATGTATCCAGGTTGTTCACAAACAAACAAAGCATTATGTATCCAGGTTGTTCTAGTCCACAGTCTCGGAGACCGACGGTCAGTCTGACCCAAACATGGTGCCATCTAGCACTGGGATAAACGTGAATGACCTTTATGATGAGCTCCTGCTTTACATCATGGGCTTCCTGTCGATCAAAGAGTGGATAACTCTAGAGAGAGGTGAGTGAGTTATCTGCTTCTGAATAAGCACAAATTAAGTCCTCAATTTGTTTTGGATCCTGAAGTGTATTTTTTGTTCTGTTTATTGTTAGAAAGGAACAGTTGTTACTATCAGGAAGAGGGGTAGCTGACTGTAAACATGGCGTCACGCATCATGAGTGAGTTTAGTTTTACTAAATATTCCAGCTATATGGTGGTGGTTTGTAGGGAAGGCGCTTCCTATTCTCGCGTACTTACGGATATCGGGTACTGAAAAATAACATAATCAATTCTTATCGTGATGAATGCTTGTTGTTTTTAAATGAAGGGCCTTCTCCTCTATCATCTACATCTATCAGCTGCCAGATCCATCAGGTGAATCACCACTCGTGAGCCCGGTGATAAACAATGCCATCCGCCATTGACGAAATGAGGCTTCTCCTATTCTCGCGGTATTACGAGGAATTAACGTTATTGAGTGTATGTAAGAGTCATCCTGCCGAAAGGGCGGGAAAAAAGTAATGATATGTCCAAGTTGGTATAAACTCCCACATATTACCGTGACACTGCAAGATTTTGATTATTCACCGACTTGGTCCACTTCCTAGTTACCAGTCGGTGATGTAAACAACCGCTAAGTGTCACGATCGCGCATTTCGCAGAAAGCGTATTTACATGAGCGAGAATAGGAAACCCGCGAATAGGAGACGGACCTATAAATAATCAAGTCTGGACCAGATAATCCTGTGATCAGCATCATGAGCATTTATCTACGCGATTGGGATACAAGACATGTGTCAACCAAGTCAGCGCTGAGACCACCAGATCCCGTTAGTCATCTCTTACGACAAGCATGGGTTGCTGAAGAGATACTGATATTAGTCTGATATTAGTCTTGTTATTTTGACAAGGTCATGAATTGGGTGAATATTTGTTCTGGTTGAAGATATAAAACATTTTTCCTTATCCTGACCTGGCTATATTGCTTATCGACAGTTACGTGGAAACTTGAATCCCTTTGTTCCCAAGAACAGTCAAATTTCACTCACCCATCGGGAGCCCCACTTTCCCACCAAAACCTGTCCCATGTGACTTGAGCCAAGCTCTCCTCACTCTCTCCATCATCGCCCAAGCGGATGGTAGGGTGGTTTCCTGGGCCCCTTTTACAGCTTATATCCTTTATATTTTTCGCCAGATTTTCAAATCAAAGGTTAAGTGAATTGTATTTTAGGACATTATTTAAGAAATACAGTTCGGCTCTACCATGTATAGTGTAATAAAGCACGCTTTTAGCGCCCTGAACTATACTGAAAGCCATTAAAAATGCAATTTGACATTCATACTTTCTTTACTCACACTAATTTCAACATATATAAACCTAACTGGCAGATATGTTTTAAAGTGAACATCTGTGAATAATTTCATCTGAAAATGTCCAGTCAACAACAACATCAGTGACGCTTAACAACGACATCACACAAAGGAGGGTCACTTTGCGAGTCAATATCGTATTATTGTCCACCGTCGCTGCAAGACATTCTCGCAGTCTTTGGGGCACTGAAAGACACACATTTCAGGAACAGCTGTTGGATGGTCTGCAGCCTCTGATGGTCTGTGGTCTGATCATGACACCACCCCTCCAAAACAATCAATGTTCAAGGACACAGTTTGGCGCGAAGTCTTTCTCCTTTACGCCGATAAATCTGTTGATGTCCATCTGCAAAGGATAAGTTAAACCCTGATTCATCTGAAAATGACATCTGGCCATGTCCTGTTGCCAAGATTGGCCCCATTTGCTGCCCATCGCTGTCTGGCAAGTCTGTGGCGATGCAATAAGGTTGGACCACGATGCGGGTGATCGACACGGATGTTGAAGGCAGCAAGCGTCCTTGCACCTTTTGGGCTGAAATGACGCTTGACTTGTCCCAATTGTCCTCCTTGCCTAATCATCAGCTGTTTGGAACCGATTTCGCAGAGTGTGAAACTCGGATATTATGCGGTTTTGTCGAGCTGTTATCACAGGTGGTGCACCAGGTCGCTGACGACCAGCAGCACTTCACGGTAGCCTGAAAAACGCTGTCTGAGTCGACTTACAGTGGATGGATGCACATTAAAGTGCCTGTCAATCATCACATCGGAAGCACCTTGGCTGACCATACCGATAACCTGATTCCTTTCGGCCTTGTGTCAAGTGTGGCATTTTCTCAAAGTGATTGAGTTCCACAATTTCTTGTGCTTTTACAGGGCCTGGGTGCAGGTAATGCATGTGCACAACATGTTTCATGAATGTGGTTGTGTTTCCGAGAAATGTCACAGGGTCAGTTTTAAGTATCAAAGTTCATGTGAGAGGAATGCTCCGGGGACTTCGAACTTCGAAATGGGCCAGAATAACAGCCTTTATCCCTACATCCTCTGTATCGCAGGAAAAATCTTCAATAGAACTTTTGTAAGTTTCAGGACAACAAATACCAATTGCATTTTTAATGGCTTTCAGTATATTATAGTTAAAGTCACGATGGCGGCTTGGCGTCCGAGTGCTTTAACGTTATAATAGTTCAGGGACGAAAGTGTGCTTTATTACACTATACATGGTGGTAGAGCAAACTGTATTTCTTTTCTATGATGCCAAATGTGTAATACTTTCTAAGGATAATTACTGTTAATTCAAGGCAGAAAACAAACGGCGATGTCGGGTGACCTAAATTAAGAATCCTCGCATTAGGGCTAACTGACGCTATTGTTCTATTGATGTGTCTTCCCCATTAAGATTAAGGCAATGTTACCAGAAAAAACAAATGATAACAGTTTGATGACGGTTTTACGCTCGATTAAATATCTTTTCTGAACCCTTCCCTTCACTGAAGATCAGGTTCGTGAGATTTCTCCGTTCCACCCCCAGCCGTTCCTGTGTAACTGTCAACCATGGATGGACGTCTAGGCTACTACTGGGATAATTGGAGACTACTAGAAGACGACTACGTCGTTCGAGTGCTGCGTATAGGGTACAAGATCGAGCTCAAGGTAACACCTCCTCTCACTGTCAACCCGCAGATGCACAGATACCCCGAGCTACAACGCATCAAGTTGTCTGAGGCAATCAACTCGCTGCTCACAAAGAACGCCGTAGAGATCCTGTATCAACGCATCTACTCTCCAATTTTCCTGGTACCGAAAGAGAACTCTGAAGAGAAGTTCCGCCTCATCTACAATATGAAGCGTTTCAACCTAAACTTCTTGCTGAAACCAGACAAGTTCAAGATCCACAAATGCGATCCATCTACTGATGCAGATGGGCTGGCGAGTCAATCACGAAGTTGGAACAAGAGCCATCACAGGATCTGCAGTTCCTCAGCCTCAGATTCCAGACCACATCATCCAGGCGTGTCTTCCAGCTGCTCTCAACTACCGATAAGAGCATGGCAGTGTCTACTAGGCCTCCTTACGTCAGCACAGGCTCTCACAGGCAGAGGGGGACTGCAGTTACGACCGCTACAACGCTCCCTTGACCTCGTCTCGACAGTCTGCAGAAGGTATCCATCCCTCGGCACCTGAAGTCGTACCTACTCTGGTGGACGGACAAGTCGAATGTCTGCGGCGGAACCTATTTGAAAGAGCTGGCCTACAACCTTCACCTCTTCGTGGACGCATCTCTACAAGGATGGGGAGCGCATTGCAACAAAGTGGTCGCATCAGGAACCTGGTCGTCGGAAGAAAGGGCTCTACACATAAACCAGTTGGAATTCAAAGCGGTCATCGAGGCAGTTCAACACTGGGCGCACCTGAGGAATCAGTTCCTTATGATCCACACAGACAACTCAACGGTAGCTTTATGCATAAATCTACAAGGCGCAATGAGATCAGCGGTTCCAGCTCTTCAACCTAGCAGACGACCCCAACTTATGGAGTCCATAAGGGGACAAAGAATGTCTTACCCGATGCCTTATCCAGACCTGTCCGACCATCACCCACAGAGTGGATGCTGCATCCGAAGCGTTCCAATTACTGACCGAAGGCCAAGGCCGTCGCCTCATAGATCTGTTTGCGACACACTTCAATCACCAGATTACAATGTTTGTCTCACAGGTACCTGATCCTCAAGCCTGGGCTATTGACGCTCTAGCCATACCATGGGAGGGACTAAATGCATACGCGTTCCCGCAGCCAATCCTGTAACCACAAATTCTACACAAGATCGCCCAAACCATACTCCTACGACTGATTTTGGTCGCGCCTTACTGGCCAGCGAGAACTTGGTTTCCAGACCTAATACAGCTGCTAGGAGAACCAACACTGCATCTACCAGATTGGCCGAATCTACTGATCCACCCTCACACAGGGCAACCTCACGGTAATCCACCAGGGCTCCAGCTACACGCATGGAACGTATTACGCACTGCTTGAAAAGAAGAGGGTACTCCACCAGAGCAGCTAAGGCAGTTACACTGGCCTTAAGAAGATCTACTCGCAACCTCTACGATGATAAGTGGAAGAGTTTCCACCAGTTTGCTGCACTCAAGGGGTTTTAGGCCATGAAAGCATCACATCCACAAGTAGCAGAATATCTGTGTCATCTGAGAGCTACTAGACACCTGAAGGGATCTACACTCTCGACATATTTGGCAGCGATCAGCTCCGTACTCACCATGAATACAGGAGTCAAGCTCACCAAAGTACCTGCTCAAAGTACTCGTTGCACTGCTGAGGTCATTCAAGCTTGAAGACCAGCAGCAGAAGTTTAGAGCTCCAGTCTGGCACCTCAACGTAGCGCTGCAACTTCTGACCAGCAACATCAGGATGTTTTGGTTGCAGTAGTAGAAGCCGTAAGAAGAGGTCCCAGGGGGGTATGTGATCAGACGCTATGTTTGATCTAACAGTCACAGTGAATCCCGTTAGATGACTGACCAACCACCTATTCCGTTGGATTCGGTAAGCATGAGTCAGGATAGGGAAATATATGTAATTTTTTATAAGATTGCTTTTTTATACTTATCCTGATTCATGATCAGAAGGGCCCTCCCAACCGTCCCGTCTCAACACTATGGGTTTTACTGGAGGCCCTAGTGTGGGCATATTCATGAGAGGGTGAGGAGAGCTTGGCTCAGGTCATGTGGGACAGGTTTTGGTGGGAAAGTGGGGCTCCCGATAGGTTCTTGGGAACAAAGGGTTTCAAGTTTCAACGTAACCGTCAAAAGGGAAAGGGAGATAAGCATATAGCATGAGTCAGGATCAGTATAAAATATCATTAAAATTACATTTTTAATATTATGATATTTCAGTGTGTCATCGCTGGCGCCATCTCAGCCACCAGACCTGGTCTACTTTGAAGTCAATTGACTTCAGGAACATCTTCAAGAGATTTGGAGGTGAGAAAGGATAAAGAATCTTAGCTGACAAATTGAATTTTTATGGTTAAATGTACATGTCTCTAGATCTGTAACTCTGTAGTTCTTCCTTTCAATCGGGGCGGTGGGGTAGCCTAGTGGTTAAAGCGTTGGCTCGTCACGCCGAAAACCCGGGTTCTAATCCCCACATGGGTACAATGTGTGAAGCCCATTTCTGGTGTCCCCTGCCGTGATGTTGCTGGAATATTGCTAAAAGCGGCGTAAAACCAAACTCAGTCAGTCAGTCAGTCAGTCAGTCCTTTTAATCCCTCAGATGGAAGCAGTCCCATTTCAATCTTCCCACTCTCCTTCCATCATTTTCTCATTTGTGACACTCTTCTTCTTTCCCTTTCTTCCCTTGTTCTCTCACTCATTTAAAAGCAACCTTTGCCAAAACATATATCTCCTGGACTCACTATCTGACTGACTGACTCACTCACTCAACAACCCACTCACTCATTCACTCACTCACTCAGGTGTGACAGACAAGATGCTGCACTCGTTGCTTCAGAGATGCCTGTTTCAGAGATGCGGATCCAACCTCACTCACTCACTCACTCACTGTTTCAGGTGTGACAGACAAGATACTGCAGTCGGTGCTTCAGAAATGTGGATCCAACCTGGTGTCCCTGGATCTGTCTGCATCCCCCCGACTTCTCACGGACTTTGCCCCTGACATTATAGGTGCGTTCACAGTTTATGGCTGATGCTTATGGCTTGATGAATGAACAATTACTTCACGTTGTTACCTTTAGAAGAAAAAAATTCACATCCTTTTTACTCGTTAGTTATAAAAAATGACTGAAGAGGCTTGTTACTTAACCTCAAAACCTTATAGATAAAGATATATATCAGTTTACATTTCAGTGTAGAACCCTTGTCTGGTTCTATACAATAATCTATTGATCACAATCCTTTGCAGGCCACTTTTGCCCTAACCTGACCTATCTGGACCTATCAGGTGTGGCAGCCACCAATAGATCACTCAAAAATCTGACAACAGAGTGCAGTAAACTGAAGGTAAAACCATCAATATCCCCCAATAGGGATTCCAAGTAGGTCTCTCAGATCCTTCAAAATCAAGTACAGTGAAACCTGTCTAAACCGGCATCCCACCGAAATAAAATGCCGGTTTAGACAGGGTGACGGATTAGACAGTGACGATCATTTCAAAATGTCCGAAACAGTTTGCCTGCCAAGTTGATATTTAACTACAAGTTCATTTTAAGAAGGCCGAGGAAGAGTATCAAAGTCATTGATAAGCTGAATTTTTTTAACAGGTGTTAACTCCAAACATGCCCACTTAGCTGGTCTAGCCTTCATGACAGACAAAGTGACTGACCAGTCAATAAAACCAATGTCTATTTATTTACGCTTCTGACACATGCAATTCACCTGAAAACAGTTAATGCAATTCCCCGGTAATCCTACGAGCGTTTGATTCACCGCGCAGTCACTACTTCCTGATTATCTAGTGTGTCGAGAGGAGTGTATTGGATTATGGGTCCTTGATTGGACTGCTCATACCAATGCCGGTTTAGACAGTGTTATTTACAGTTAAAATTGCTTTTTGGGACCGGAATGTCGTGCCGGAATACGGAATAGACAGGTGCCGGATTAGACAGGAGCCAGTGTTGGCAGGTTTCACTGTACATATACCTTTCTGCATGAGGATGTAATAGAAGGATGCATGGGTTCTCAAGCCAATCATATGTCTGCTTTGTCAAATGACTGAGCTTCTTTTCTTTACGGACTCAGTTTTGAAATGTCGCTCTCAATATCAGTGAAATGTACAAGCCAAAATTTTATGGCTTCTCCCCTTTTCTGTATATACCCCAAAGTTGTGATGGTCAAATTTGTCGATGCATTGTTTGAACTTGTTTGTTGTTTAATGCCTCACTCAGCAATATTCCAGTTATATGGTGGCGGTCTGTAAATAATTGAGTCTGGACTAGACAATCTTGTGATCAACTGAACATCTTTCTGCTCAATTGGGATATGATGACATGTGTCTACCAAGTCAGCGAGCCTGACCACCCATTTCCGTTCCTGTTAGTTTCTACTTACAACAGTTCTTACCCAGATATATCATAGCATTAAAATGTGTTTGTGATGTTTCAGGTGATAAAACTACAAAGATGCAACCATGTTGGAGAGAAAGGGTATATCTCATGTTTTATGTTGCCATTCACATAATGTTCTGAATTGCTAAGTTCCTTATGCAGTATTATACCTTGTAATTTAAATATACAGGTAGTATTCCTTATGGACTAATGGTGGTGGGGTAGCCTAGTGGTTAAAGCGTTCGCTCGTCACGCCGAAGACCTGGGTTCGATTCCCAACATGGGTATAATGTCTGAAGCCCATTTCTGGTGTCCCCTTGCATGGTTTTGCTGGACAATTGCTAAAACCATACTCACTCACTCAATCGCTCGCTCCTTGTGGCCCAAGCCAATTTCTGTTACTACGAGGTATGGACGAATTTGAGTTGATTTTGTGTTTTATATAATTATTTCATTCAGATCAAGACAGGAATGATTAGTCATTGCATAAATGTTGCTATAAGCATCACTTGGCAGAGAACATATTGAGAATAATGAAAATAATAACAAATTAGACACAGCTTCTTCTGTTTCCTATCCACACCTCTCATGGTACTGTTAGGAGTTTGTATACATTTGTGTGTGTCTTCCAGCCTTTGGTGGGTCCTCCATCACTGCAAGGAGCTTGAGGAGATAGATATGGAGTCGAACAGTATGATTACTGGCAAGGTAAGAGTGAGTGAGTGAGTATGGTTTAATGCTGCCTTTTGCAATATTCCAGCAATATCACGGCGCTGGACACCAGAAATGGGCTTCATACATTGTACCCATGTAGGGAATCGAACCCAGGTCTTCGGTATGACAAGCAGACACTTTAACCACTAAGCTACCCCACCGCCCTGGCAAAGTGGTCTTGGAAGAAATGATTTTATGAGCGGCTAAATCAATCATTGTAGCGAAGAAAGTTCAAAATAAGCTGCCAGAATTGTAGTCAACACCACAAATGGTCCTATTTCTCATACACCAAAAGACATTCACTGGTTACAAAGAGTGGCCAGATTTCACTTCAGATTACTTTCACTTACTTTCAAACATGCCCATACCCAAACTCAAATCTTTTGGCTTCAGAACTTTCAGCTAAGCAGGTATTACTGTCAGAATTCATACAAGTTCTGTTTCTTGTCAGAACTGGAACTTACTTATTCAGAAAATTTAAATTTCTTATTATTTGATATGCTGCTGAATATTCATGGACATTGTAGCATGTAGAAACTATTTTTGTTAGTATTGAATTGGTGCTTTACAAGCAGTGTGTGAAATAGCCACTGGCCTGCTCGCCCGTGACTAGTAAAATTCCAGTTGGGCCAGTAAATCTCCACAGTTGTAAACATGATTTAGTTCCGAGTAGTAAATGTTCCGGTTCGGAATAAATGCCGTGGAATTGAGAATGGATGACACGAATAAAAATTCCGCACATACGGCGAATATTCCATCGAACAGGAACAAATACCGTAGGCCTAACCTATTCCAGTCATTATTGAATGCAAAATGGACTCATCCAACTTGTCAACATCCGGGATGTCTACTAACTTCAACTTGGTTACATGTTGACTGTAACCTGGCTACTGACTAACTGTAACTTGGTTACATGTTGACTGTAACCTGGCTACTGACTGACTGTAACTTGGTTACATGTTGACTGTAACCTGGCTACTGACTAACTGTAACTTGGTTACATGTTGACTGTAACCTGGCTACTGACTGTAACTTGGTTACATGTCTACTGTAACCTGGCTACTAACTGTAACTTGGTTACATGTTGACTGTAACCTGGCTTCTGACTGACTGTAACTTGGTTATATATTGAATGTAACCTGGCTACTGACTGACTGTTAATTGGTTACATGTTGACTGTAACCTGGCTACTGACTAACTTTAACTTGGTTACATGTCGACTGTAACCTGGCTACTGACTAACTTTAACTTGGTTACATGTTGACTGTAACTCGGCTACTGACTGGACTATGGCTTGGTTACATGCTGGACTGTAACCTGGCTACTGACTGACTGTTAATTGGTTACATGTTGACTGTAACTGGCTACTGACTAACTGTAACTTGGTTACATGTTGACTGTAACCCGGCTACTGACTAACTCTTAATCTGGCTACTGACTAACTTGGTAAATATGTTGACTGTAACCTGGCTACTGACTGACTGTTAATTGGTTACATGTTGACTGTAACCTGGCTACTGACTAACTTTAACTTGGTTACATGTTGACTGTAACCTGGCTACTGACTAACTCTAACTTGGTTATATATTGAATGTAACCTGGCTACTGACTGACTGTTAATTGGTTACATGTTGACTGTAACCTGACTACTGACTGTAACTTGGTTACATGTTGACTGTAACCTGACTACTGACTGTAACTTGGTTACATGTTGACTGTAACCTGACTACTGACTGTAACTTGGTTACATGTCGACTGTAACCTGGTTACTGACTGTTAATTGGTTACATGTTGACTGTAACCTGACTACTGACTGTAACTTGGTTACATGTCGATTGTAACCTGACTACTGACTGTAACTTGGTTACATATTGACTGTAACCTGGCTCCTGACTAACTCTAACTTGGTTATATATTGAATGTAACCTGGCTACTGACTGACTGTTAATTGGTTACATGTTGACTGTAACCTGACTACTGACTGTAACTTGGTTACATGTTGACTGTAACCTGACTACTGACTGTAACTTGGTTACATGTCGACTGTAACCTGGTTACTGACTGTAACCTGATTAATGAAGGTAACTTGGTTACATAATAACTGAACTCTTTTTAACACAAGATTCATTTAGAATCATCAGTTCGGATTCTGGGGAATCTACAATGTATTTTCATAAACAAAATTAAGGAACTTTCACACATGATAATTGCTTCTTGATAGCCACATGATTTGTTCCATATGGAACAAATACCGTAGGAAAATATTTTTTCCTTTCCGCTCCCCCACGCCCCAATTTTTAAGACCACCCCAACAAACAAAACCCTCTTTTAGACATTTTATGATGTGTGTGGAAGTTCCTCTTTACCCGGAATAAATTCTGTGTGTGCGGAACGAAATAATTGTTCCGCATGCACTATTACAAGAACAAATGTTGGAATGAAAAGTTCCAACGAAACTTTTACTATGGGGGAACCAAATCTTTTTTACACAGTCACTGGTCCAACTGGCTAGTGAATTTTCATGGAATCAGTTTGTAAATATATCACTCTCTCTGACTTGTTAAGCCATAATACACTTTTAAATCATGCAAGGGTATGGTCTGATTAAAAATATTCATCATATTAGCAGCTTAATGATGAAGCCTGTGTCTACATTCACATTTAGGGCTACTGAATTATTTTGTGGGCTAGTAACTTTCAGTCATAGCCAGCCCGACTAGTAGTAGTGGTAGTGGTAGTAGAGATATCTGGCTGCTGTAAATATTCTTATACTTTGTTGTTTGTAATGCCATATGCTGGAATATTTCGGCTATTTGACATTGGTTTGTAAATAATCAAGTCTGAACCACACAAACCAGTGATTGGCGCAGTAAGCATCTATGGGTAAGAGATACAATAGCATGCGTGAACCAGGTCGCTTCTTATGTGGATTGGTTGCTGAAAACCAACAGAAAAAGGAATTAAACCATAGAGGAAATACAACAAAGGGTGAATAGCTCTCGATGGTTTGGTGCTCACTGTGATTGTTTTTGTGTTTTTTCAGTGTTTCCACATGGCCGGGCCGAAGATAAAAGCCCTTCATCTGACTGGCTGCAGCTTTGTAAGTATGCTTATAGGTCAAGGTCAGTTAAATCTGTCAAGGTCAGTCAGATAGGTAAATTTCAGATGAAGATGTCAGGGTCAGATAATTATCCATGAAGGTCAGAGATATATTTGAAGGTCAAAGGTGAGAGCAATGTACCCTTAAAAAATAAGGTATGCTTTGAATAACTTCAATATTTAAAAATTGTAAGACTTTCTAGTTTCTAGTAATAGCTGTCTGATGATAATAGTGAATAAATAAGAAACACATTGCAATAGATAGTGATGCATGACCCCAAATGGTCTGGCATGGAAATGGGGGTAAATAATTTGGGTCACTTCCTGCTTTACTTCTGAAGTAAACTAATAGGCTGTAAAATAAATGCAGTAATGTTTCCCTTAATGTCAATAATGTCAAACAGATCTTTCTACATTAGTGAATGTGACATGAGTGAGTGTTATGTCATACTTCATTATTCAGCTGAGCGACACAGCTATCTTCAAGTTGGCAGAGTTATGTCCCCTTATTGAGGAGCTCCACCTACGGTCTAGTGTCTACCTCACGGACAGCGCCATCGAGATTCTGGGCACGGTGAGACTGACCTACTTGTAAAGTAGTACCTTGTACATTACAGTAATTACAGAACCAGAACCCGTGAACATCCGGGTTAGAATTGATCTTCAGTAACCCATACTTGTCGTCAGAGGCGACTAACGGGATCGGGTGGTCAGGCTTGCTGACTTGGTTGACACATGTCATCGGTTCCCAATTGCACAGATCTATGCACGTGATGTTGATCACTGGATTGTCTGGTCCAGACTGGATTCTTTACAGACCGCCGCCTTATAGCTGGAATATTGCTGAGTGCGACGTAAAACTAAACTCACTCACAGAACCAGAGATTCAAATCAGACAGAACCATGTGTTACCATTCCTGAAAACATCAAATGGATTTGTTAAAGAGATGAAGATTTGTTAAACCCAGAACACAGCACTGTGTGGCATTAGTTGTGTGGCTCCTGGTGTGGAATAGGTTAGTTCTACCTCTGGCTTGTGATGCTTTAGAAATTCTTCAGCTGGGTTCGAAATAATCGCCGGCCTGGAGGCCCAGCGCCGGTTGTTTTTTCAAATATTTGCAGGCCCTTGTGGCCTTCAGTAAATCATCATATATTGTTTTCAACTGGAGTCTTTCCCATATTTTTTTTCTATATTAACATTCGGGAATCATCCATGATCCATCATGTTATGATAACTTACAGTTTCACTTCCTGGTATTTCAGTCTTTTACAAATAAAAACCTCTCTCTGCGCCATAGGCTTCGCTAATTGATTTTGTAGAAACTGTGTGAAACTGTGTACAGTGTAGTCTACTTTGTTTTGGCAAATAAAAGTATTGCACTCACTCACTCACTCACTCACTCACTCACTCACTCGCTCACTTGGGCTGCGATGTAGATGTTTCCTTGCCATGTGATATCTATAATATTGTTGACTACAGGGTTATTCAACTTCCAGTATCTCACCTCCCTGAACAACAATGAAATCATAAGTCAGAGGTAAACTATGTGTTTATGGTATGATGGTGGTTGTGTTTCAGAGTTTCCCTAACATGAGAGTCTTGGCGGCAACAGATTCATATCCAGAAAGTAAGTGTTGTTTCATATTATAATTGATACCTCATCTGTGAACCTTCACTAAAGACTCATCTGTTTTGTGCCCACTACAACAAAACATAGATGCAGCTTCGTGGACAACAGCACTTTTGGGCAGTGCTACATGAATAACGTTATTATTTATTATTTAAATAGGTATTGGTGGTAACATATTGCCCATGTTGGTGACTTCCCTTTGCTCCATTTGTCCTTATGCTATTATTTTTGTGTGTAAACTGGAAAAAATATTCATAGGTTTTGGAAGTGTTTGTATGATTCCTCCTGCATGATTTGGAAAGGTAATTTTTTTTTTACACCTGACTGTATCACACCATTCCGTCTGTGAAGATCCGGGTTAGAATCGGTCTTCAGCAGCCCATGTTTGTTGTAAAAGGCGACTAACAGGATCGGGTGGTCAGGTTCGCATGTCATCATATTGCAACTCCTCATGCTGTTGATCACTGGATTGTCCGGTCCAGATACGATTATTTACAGACCGCCGCCATATAGCTGGAATATTGCTGGGTGCGGCGCAAAGCAATAAACAAGCAAACACATTCAGAGTACTTCAATGCAGAATCCGAAAATACTCAATAACAGGCTCAGCATCTGTGGAGCCAACAGGGTTTCGCGTCTTCAATTTTGGTTTTGATAAGAGTACAAAGTGTTTTTGAATCTGATAAGCATGTAGTAGAAACAAAGGAATAGATAGTACTAGAAACATACTGAAACGGGTGACTTCTCATGTGTCTCACTTTCTTCATCAGCGTCTCTCTTAGGTTGGAGTGCTCTGGGACACTCGGCCAACCTGGTGAGTTGGGATACAATCTGATTCATCGGCTTGAAATAGCCTTCTGTTTTTCTCTGAATTTGTGAATGTTGCTAAAGATATTATCAAAAAGCAAACATCAGTGCATGTGACAGTAATCTAGAGAGTGTGTACAGAAACTAGAAATAGGCTTCATACATTGTACGTGGGTGGGGAATTGATTCTGGGCCTTAGGCATGATGAGCAAGTAGGCTACCCCACCCACACACACCCCTCTCACATAACCCCCACCCACACACACACACACATCCATTCCAACCACCACCACCCACACCTCACCCCACACACCCATCCCCACTCCTCTTCCCCGACCTATCCAAACAAACACCCATCCCCACCCCACATCTCCCACTCCACTCCTCCCCACCCACCACCCCCATTCCCAACACCTCACCCCCATCCCCACTCCTCTTCCCCACCCATCCACAGACACACACACACACACACACACACACACACACACACACACACACACACACACACACACACACACACACACACACACACACACATTCCCACCCCTCAGTATTCTAGTGTTAGTGCCCAAGCATTGTAGTTCAAATGGATTTGTAGTCAACAGTTTCAAGTGTCCCTCTAGAAAGACAAACAGACGAGCCATGATGCACAACTGATGCAAACTGGCGATGACAAAAGCTTCTCGACTTTTAGGCAGATGATTAAATAATTGCATTTTCTCACTCTAAAAATCACTTAGAGCCATGGAGATTGAAAATAAATGGTCTGGTATTCCACAGTTTGTAGCTGTTGTGATTGTGATGTGTGACATGTGATTGTGATGTGTGACATGTGATTGTGATGTGTGACATGTGATTGTGATGTGTGACATGTGATTGTGATGTGTGTGATGTGTGACATGTGATTGTGATGTGTGACTTGTGATTGTGATGTGTCACACGTGATTGTGATGTGTGACATGTGATTGTGATGTGTGACATGTGATTGTGATGTGTGACATGTGATTGTGATGTGTGACATGTGATTGTGATTGTGATGTGTCACACGCGTGATTGTGATGTGTGACATGTGATTGTGATGTGTGACTTGTGATGTGTCACACGTGATTGTGATGTGTGACATGTGATTGTGATGTTTTGTTGAAGTGAAAAGAGACCCAGTGAGATGAGAGTTTCAGAACCTGAGGAAATCTTGCTTAATTTAGGGCTTTAGTATTGCAGAAAGGGCTGTGGAAGAAGGGGAAATAATGCGGTTCAGGGACTGTTAGATTGACCAATGTTTTGTATATCTAGCTAATGCCCATGTTGACTGACCTAAACTTCCACCCCAGGTTGAGCTGGACTTGTCCAAGAACGTCTCTGTTGGGGATTCAACCCTCGCTGCCATCTCTGTCGGCTGTCTGCAACTCAGGTAACACATCTTCATACACTTTATACCTTTCTTTAGAATGTCCCTGTGGTTTTCCAGGCAAAGCTAAACTCTCATCTCCTGTTATGCCTGTGGTAAAAGGTAGGTGAAGAATGAGGACAATTTTTATGGATATACAACTTCTTTAATCTGTATAGGCGACTTCATATCCTCAACTTCTAGAATGCCAATCAAGGAAAGGTAGGTGTGTTGCTCTGAAATGATGTGTGTGATCAGAATTAGAACTGCTCTTCAGCAACCTTTGTCATTAGAGAACACAAACAACAAACAACACTCACTAACAGTCAGTCCTGGGGCGGGCCGGTGGGGTAGCCAAGTGGTTAAAGCGTTGGCTCGTCACGCCGAGGACCCGGGTTCAAATCCCCACATGGGTACAATGTGTGAAGCCCATTTCTGGTGTCCCCCGCCGTGATGTTGCTGGAATATTGTTAAAAGCGGCGTAAAACCAAAACTCAGTCAGTCAGTCCTGGGGCAGTGGGGTAGCCTAGTGGTTGAAGTGTCTGCTCATCACGCCGAAGACCCAGGTTCGATTCCCCACATGCTTACAATGTGTGGAGCCCATTTCTGGTGTGCCCCGCTGTGATATTGCTGGAATATTGCTAAAAGTGGTGTAAAACCAAACTCACTCACCCACTCACTCACTCATTCACCCATGTCGCTGTGAACTGAATTCATTGAAAACTAAATGAAGCACATATAAAATATTGCTTTTTGTGTCCCTACTTCATTTTTGGGGTACCGTGATATGTCTTTCGCTAACATCTGATGTCATCACTGATTTTCTGTGACCCATTCATATGAATTTCACAGCTATTTTTCTCTTTACACAAACTGGAATTTGTTTCTGAGGATATTCAAGACTGAGTATTCTTTTGCACTGATGTTCCATATATTTCACTTCATCCTTACCGAAAATTATTGAAAATGGTTTCATGAAACTTTTAGCAGTATTCCAGGTATGTCATAGGAGAGAAAGCCTTTAATAGGTTTCACACATTGTACCCATATGGAGATTTGAACCTGGGTAATCTGTTTCATTGAAGTTTTATAACAATTGTCAAAGGTATTGTTTGATTGAAGCCTTTGAAGTGAATGAGTGAGTGAGTTAAGTTTTACGCTGCACTCAGCAATATTCCAACTATATGGCGGCAGTCTCTAAATAATCGAATCTGGACCAGACAATCCAGTGATCAACAGCATGAACATTGATCTGTGCAATTGGGAACCGATGACATGTGTCAACCAAGCCAGCAAGCCTGACCACCTAATCCCCTTAGTCGCCTCTTACGACAAGCATGGGTTACTGAAGATCAATTCTAACCCGGGTCTCCACGGATCTGAAGCCACTGAAAAGCGTTTAGAAGTTGGAAGAACATGAGTACTTGACACTCCTCCTGTTCCGTATCACAACACATGAAGGAGCAAGAAGTAGCTCTGAAATGTTGTGATAAAGACGAAAACAAGTTGTTATCCATAAAAATGTTACGCCATTTGGGTCCAGCTTGTGAGTAGCTGACACTGGTTTAATGAATCTTCTCTGGAACTACGGTATGCCCTCTTACTTTGGTCCTGACAATTTGGGATGAGCGAGAGGTGCAATGTCATTGCCTGAGAACTCATGGGCCCTTTACCATAGCTCCCCCAGCCATCACAAGAGGATATTTTTTTATTAACTCATGAGTCTACAATTTCAGGTGAAATGCTCGTTTCTTAGTATGAATATTAATGTCAGACAAGAACGATAATAAAAAAACAGGTCCCTGTGTCACCATCATCATCATCATCATCATCATCATTATCATCATTATCATCATTTCCATTTGGTCTGTAACCTTTTCCCCATTTAGTAATTGACTCCTCCCCCTTCAGAGTTCTTTCCTGGTTCCTTACTTGGTATTCTGGTAGATAATCCCAGATTTACCTGAATTTAAACCTCAGCCCTCACAAGACCATTTCGGGCGGTGGGGTAGCCTAGTGGTTAAAGCGTCCGCTCTTCACACCGAAGACCCGGGTTCGAATCCCCACATGGGTACAATGTGTGAAGCCCATTTCTGCTGTCCCCCTGTTGTGATATTGATGGAATATTGCTAAAAGCAGGGTAAAACCATACTCACTCACTCACTCTTCCTGTAGGACACTTGACATCAGCAGCTGTCATCGGAACATGACGGATGCCGGCATTCTTGCCTTGGCCCAGCTCCCTGTTCTGGAGAACCTCGACATCAGCTACCTACGCATGGTGAGAACAGGTGTACTCATTAACCTTGACTGTACAGGCATTAGTCATTAGTCATGGTGAGGTGAAATGGGCTTTAAGATAGCCCTCAACATCGTTGCATTTACAGAGATGCCAACCTCTACGATTTTATCGTAGTCACTACAAATTTTAGCCTCAAACTACGCCAATACAATTGCACTGGAATTTCTATGATATTTGATGAAAATTCATTAAAATTCAGATATATAGACAAAAACATATATTTTCATCAATTAAATACATTTTCGCCAAAATGAGACAAGTAGAAATGTAATTCTGATAATTTGGAAATCTGCTGTTGGAGGTATGTGAAATTTAAGCTTCACTCTTGATTAGTGTCTTTCTGCGAGTCCATAATGATTTTTAAGTATTTAGTTGACTACTAATTTATGGTCAAACTACTAATTTTGATCCTTGAAGGTACTTTTTACAACACTCTGGGGTTGGCATCTCTGCATTTATATAGCGACATAGCAGCGTTTTTGTGTGGAATATTGTAGAGTGGAGTGTTTAACAACAAACACACTCGAATGGAGATTAAATACACTGGGAAACAGTGATTGCAATGTCATAATTTCAGTAAAATATTGGGGCGGTGGGGTAGCCTAATGGTTAAGGCGTTGGCTCGTCATGCCGAAGACCCGGGTTCGAATCCCCACATGGGCACAATGTGTGAAGCCTATTTCTGGTGTCCCCCACCGTGATGTTGCTGGAATATTGCTAAAAGCGGCGTAAAACCAAACTCAGTCAGTCAATCAGTCAGTAAAATATTCTTTTATGACTTTGCCTCCAGATATACAGTCTTATCATAAAGCATGAGGCCTTTTAATTGACAACCTTACCACTTTAAAACAAAATATGGCAAAAAACACAATGTATGAGATGAAACAAATTCATATGGAATAGAGTTAAAAACGAAACATATTCATAGTCATAATATTATATATCTCAAATTACCTATATTTTAATTCTGTGAGATCTCAATCACTTTGGCTCTTCCTCAAATGTTAACTGGAATGCTGTCCAAGGTGCTTTATACTCACTCACTCTTATTGCACCATGGGTACAGTGTGTGAAGCCCATTTGTGGTGTCCCCACACCATGATATGTCTGGATATTGCTAAAAGCAGTGTAAAAAACCATACTCATACCATACCACTCACTCTTATTGCACCAGGTTGAAAGGGAAAGACTGCTTATATTCATGAACAGAATCTGTTATCAACATCCACTCACTCACTCATTGTTTCCAGATTCATGATGAGAGTCTTGAGCTGATCGCCATCAATGGCTGCCTCAAGAAGTTAACAGCTCAAGCCTGTGGAGAACTCACAGACAGTAGTAAGTGTCTTTAGTTCATTGCAACATCCATACGTTAACATCTACTTAAGACAGTCGTAAGACTAAGATGATTTTAAGACTTATGACAGTCACAGAGCTAAGATGCTCAACTGACATATGACTGGATAACATTGAAGGTCAAGGTCACACAGTTTAAACTACAGTCCGTTTGATTTCATTTGAGACTGATGAATTGCTCACTAACACAAAATCTAATAATTGCAACAAAACCAATATATGGCAGCTGTCTGTTGTATAACACCACACTCAGCAATATTCCAGATATATGGCAGCTGTCTGTTGTATAACACCACACTCAGCAATATTCCAGATATATGGCAGCTGTCTGTTGTATAACACCACACTCAGCAATATTCCAGATATATGGCAGCTGTCTGTTGTATAACACCACACTCAGCAATATTCCAGATATACGGCAGCTGTCTGTTGTATAACACCACACTCAGCAATATTCCTGTCTGATATACACTCAGCAATATTCCAGCAGCTGTCTGTTGTATAACACCACACTCAGCAATATTCCAGATATATGGCAGCTGTCTGTTGTATAACACCACACTCAGCAATATTCCAGATATATGGCAGCTGTCTGTTGTATAACACCACACTCAGCAATATTCCAGATATATGGCAGCTGTCTGTTGTATAACACCACACTCAGCAATATTCCAGATATACGGCAGCTGTCTGTTGTATAACACCACACTCAGCAATATTCCAGATATATGGCAGCTGTCTGTTGTATAACACCACACTCAGCAATATTCCAGATATACGTCTGCACCACACTCAGCTGTCTGTCTGTTGTATAACACCACACTCAGCAATATTCCAGATATATGGCAGCTGTCTGTTGTATAACACCACACTCAGCAATATTCCAGATATATGGCAGCTGTCTGTTGTATAACACCACACTCAGCAATATTCCAGATATATGGCAGCTGTCTGTTCATAATTGAGTCACTACCAGACAATCCAGTGATCAACATCATGAGCATCGTTCTATGCAATAGATCTTAGAATGTGTATGATAGATGACTAGTTGTGACACCAAAAATTAACAGCATCATTATTGTAGGGATAACTGTAGAAATATTCTGAAGATAAAATCTTCGTTTACTGTTATGTGGCCTTGTAACTTCAATACAGTGGAGCTTTTTGTTTGATTTTTTTGGTGAAAAAAAATCCTGGAGTATATCAGTGTTTATATAATTAGGTATACAAATTTGAAAAATAAGATGTGACAAAGTTTGAACTTCTTCCTTATTGTTTCAGGTATTATAAGTGTTGCTAAACATTGTCCTTGGCTGCTTCACCTTGACATCAGCGGCAACATCTGTATGACCAACCACATTCTCCTTGCCTTCATCAAAGCTGTGAAACGGTCCAACAGGAGGATTGTCCTACATGCAGGAGGTAACAAGCAACAAGCACACAGATGTTGACGCAATCACGATGGTTGCAGCAGACACACAGACAGTAACACAATCAAGATGGTTCAGCTGACGCACAGACAATAACCCAATGAAGATGGTTCAACTGACGCACAGACAATAACACAATGAAGATGGTTCAGCAGACGCACACACAATACCACAATGAAGATGGTTCAGCAGATGCACACACAATAACACAATCAAGATTGCTCAGCAGACGCACACACAATAACACAATGAAGATGGTTCAGCAGACGCACACACAATAACCCAATGAAGATGGTTCAGCAGACGCACACACAATAACACAATCAAGATGGTTCAGCTGACGCACAGACAATAACCCAATGAAGATGGTTCAACTGATGCACAGGCAATAACACAATGAAGATGGTTCAGCAGACGCACACACAATAACACAATGAAGATGGCTCAGCAGTCGCACGGACAATAACACAATGAAGATGGCTCAGCAGACGCACGGACAATAACACAATGAAGATGGTTCAGCAGACGCACACACAATAACACAATGAAGATGGCTCAGCAGACGCACAGACAATAACACAATGAAGATGGTTCAGCAGAGGCACACACAATAACACAATGAAGATGGTTCAGCAGACACACAGACAATAACACAATCAAGATGGTTGCAGCAGACACACAGACAGTAACACAATCAAGATGGTTCAACTGACGCACAGACAATAACACAATGAAGATGGTTCAGCAGACGCACAGACAATAACACAATGAAGATGGTTCAGCAGACGCACACACAATAACACAATCAAGATGGCTCAGCAGACGCACACACAATAACACAATGAAGATGGTTCAGCAGATGCACACACAATAACACAATGAAGATGGTTCAGCAGACGCACACACAATAACACAATCAAGATGGCTCAGCAGACGCATGGACAATAACACAATGAAGATGGCTCAGCAGACGCACACACAATAACACAATGAAGATGGCTCAGCAGATGCACGGACAATAACACAATGAAGATGGTTCAGCAGACGCACAGACAATAACACAATGAAGATGGTTCAGCAGACGCACAGACAATAACACAATGAAGATGGTTCAGCAGATGCACAGACAATTACACAATGAAGATGGCTCAGCAGACACACAGACAATAACAGTCAAGATGGTTCAGCAGACACACAGACAATAACACAATCAAGATTGTTCAGCAGACAATAACACAGTCAAGATGGTTCAGCTGACAATAACACAATCAAGATGGTTCAGCAGACAATAACACAATCAAGATGGTTCAGCAGACACACAGACAATAACACAATCAAGATTGTTCAGCTGACAACACAATCAAGATGGTTCAGAAGACAATAACACAATGAAGATGGCTCAGCAGACGCACAGACAATAACACAATCAAGATGGGTCAGCTGACGCACTGACAATAACACAATCAAGATAGTTCAGCAGACAATAACGCAATCAAGATGGCTCAGCAGACAATAACACAATCAAGATGGTTCAGCAGACAATAACACAATCAAGATGGTTCAGCAGATAATAACACAATCAAGATGGTTCAGCAGAATGAAATCACATTTGAAGAAAATGAGGTATCAGTAAATGATAAAATCTCTACATGGTTAATTACACGTTTGTTGTTCGTGTTTGTCATCAGAGTAAACGAGCCCTCACTGCATTATTCATTGAGCTGATCACTTCTGTATGGGCTTAACCTGTCAAAGATTACATGCTGCCAATGTACAGCTACAATATTGTAGTCTGCACAATAAAACACTAACTCAGCAACATAGGACTGGTTAAAGGAACACAATGGTTGAGTGTCAGCAACATAGGACTGGTTAAAGGAACACAATGGTTGAGTGTCAGCAACATAGGACTGGTTAAAGGAACACAATGGTTGAGTGTCAGGTGTTGCATTCCTACAGGAACCAGCATGCTGCCGAGGAAGGTCTGGTTGCCGGCATGTCTGGAGGTCAGCCTGATGGATCTGTCCAAGGACTATCTCCGTGCCAACCTAGAAGAGCTGTTTCCAGGTAGTTCATCTGTATCATTGCTGGTCGGGGCGGTTGGGTAGTCTAGTGGTTTAAGTGTTGGCTCGTCACGCCGAAGACCCGGGTTCGAATCCCCACATGGGCACAATGTGTGAAGCCCATTTCTGGTGTCCCCCACCGTGATATTGCTGGAATATTGCTAAAAGCGGCGTAAAACCAAACTCAGTCAGTCAGTCATTGCTGGTCATCAACTACAACTCATGATGGTCCTTAAACTAATTGAGGCCAAAACATCTAACTTGTTCTTTTTGATCAATGAAATTTTTAAACTTATCCTATCCGACGGTATGCACTTCTCTCTCTTACTTCGACCATGGCGTGGAATTGTGGTGTAGGCTAAGTTGAATAAAATCTTTTGGCCTCTCTCCCACCCGATCGCTCCCCAGTGCTCCTACTCCTGGACACATCAATCATCCCTGTAAAGAATGGAAAGTGCCCAGGATGGTCACATGACATCCCAATACTGTCATTCTTGTCTTTGAGCCCCATTGCGTGAGATAGGATAATTAGGCCTGGAGAAAGCATCAACTCCCCATATGCTATACTTTAATACGTATGATGGGTATACAATTTATAGTTAAAATTTCCAATTTTTTGTCCCTTTATACTGATGTGATTGACAAGAAAGCATCAGGAAAATCATGGCAAAACTCAATACGGTATGTTGGCATCTGAAGAACCAAGTTGTCCAGCTCTCCATTGTAACCTCACATGATTCACTGTGATTTTGCCAGGATCACCTAGGGAATGTTGAAACGTGGCATACACAACCCAGTGGTCCATGTGAGACCATACAGCATCCACCTGCTGGAACCGATCTTAGTGCTACAACAGTCTTGAGCCTATGTTAATGTGTGGGAGTTAAGAACACCTTAGGGTAGTCTCTCGTACAGACCCTGAAGCAAATTTATCCAAGAAAGCCCACGCAAGTCTAGAAAATATGGCAAGTCTAGATTTCCACAACTTCAGGATGAAGAAAGACTCAGGGCTCCTTTTCATTATATTTTATTTTTTTTTACTATGAACTTTTTTTCAGTAAAATATGTTCATTTCAGAGACTAGTTGTTAGTCTACCCTTAGGGCTAAGATCTCTTTGTGCAAGTGGACCCTAGTCACATGACTGTATCATCCCACCTGGTACCCGTTATTTGACCCAGGAATGTTGTGACATGTGGTGTTTATTGCAGAGCTGTATGAAGTGGAGGTCTGGGATGGGGGCGGGGAGTACTGGGACCAGGATGGGGAGGACCGACCAGACCCTGCAGGTGACCAGGATGGGGAGGACCGACCAGACCCTGCAGGTGACTGAGTTACTGGGGGCATATCCCCTTAACATTGAGGTTTGAGTTGGTCTTCTTCTTGTGATAGGGAGGTTACAGCCGGGCAAAGCCACATTTAAGAAAAACAGAGTTGAAAATGGTGTGGCCTAACCGGCAATGGACATTGTTGAGTGATCGCGTGAATGTGGCTCTCCCGTCAATGCGCTGTTAGCAAATCCATGTTACCATAAATAATGTGAAATATTCATTGTGTAAAATCTAAAAATTCAGTTGAATTGTTCGAGGAGAAAAGTCCAGTTCACACAAACTAGCTGCCTTATGTAGGTATACTCAAACCCCTTTTATGAATTTTTTATGATTATACAACCAATTATTTCTTTGAAGCATTTAACTTATGGAGGGTTAATTCAATGTTTTATTCTTTTCTGATAACTGTTGAGATAAGAACTATGGTTGCCTCAGTTATTATGTTTACATTCAGGCTAAAAACTTAACAAAAAAATAAATGAATAAAAACAAATTTAGAAGAATGACCATTTATTGCATAAACATACTTATAAACAGCCACATATGTGACGCCTAACTCTTTCCATTTCATAACCGTTAAGCAAAATTCTTGTACAAACATCTCTGCTGATACGATATACCTGTCATACAAACCAAAGTAGTTTACATGAAGACATATAAAAAAATACAAATGAAGTGTTTTTTAAGAACAAAAGCTGAAATTGCCCTTTTCCATAGAATAATGACCCATTAGCGTGTATCATATTATCTCAGAACATATGTTATCATATGGTAACTAAAAGCTTCCACGAGAATAAAGAAGCCGCCCATCATATGTTAGCTAAACAAACAAAGGACAAGTCACTAAAACAGTTTTAATCCATTGTGATCAATGGGTGACGCTTATTTGAAAAAACGGTATTGATTCCCTTAATGTGTCTTTCGCGGCAATTCGCAGCATCGAAGTTTGCTCTTGAAATGTGACTTTAGCGGCAGTTGGTATTTTTCAAATGTGGCTTTCCCAATAGGGAACTAAGAGGATCAGGTGGTCAGGCTTGCAGACCTTGCTGATGCATGTTTAGTGTGATCTGGAGAGCTGTGAAGATGAATGGGGCCCCGGTTCACAAAGCTAGCGTAGCGCTACGACTATCGTAAGTCAATGTTAGGAGGTAGGAATAGGAGGTAGGAATGCTACGAGGAACGTTACGAGATCTTAGGCTTACAAGAGCTTTGTGAAACGGGGCCCTGGTCTGTATGATGAGAAGGATATAGATGGTGTTGAATTTGAAAATATAAATTATTTCATATTTTGGTAATATGAAATAATAGGACGTTTATAAACATCACCTCACCTCACCTTATACAATGATCTTATTTTATATTATATTATCAGTATGATCCTTCAAAAATGTTCCAGGTAATTTCAGACCAGCCGGTGAGGAGATCGGAGAATGCCCTTGGGAGGAGGAGTTTGCCGACATGTGTAATGACTTCTTTGACAATGACGACCCTCTCCATGAGGAATTGTGGGACCTAGGGTGACAGTTGCCATAGCGATGTTACCTACCCAGGAATCGGCAGCTCAAGCCAAGACTGCAAGGCCAGTCCCTGGCATCACACAGAGATTCTGTGACACATTATTGACAGTTAGTTCAGAGAGTTACATATTTGACATGAAGCTAGACATGGACTTGAAAACACTGAGTGAGTGAGTGAGTTTAGTTTTAAATAATAGAGTCTCGACCAGACAATCCAGTGATCAACAACATGAGCATCCATCTGTGCAATTGGGAACTGATGACGTGTCAACCAAGCCAGCAAGCCTGACCACCTGACCACCTGTTAGCTGCCTCTTACGGCAAGTACGGGTTACTGAAGATCAATTCTAACCCGAATCTTCACGGGCTGCTTGAAAACAGACATTTGTACAACTTGTTAGCTGGGATAGTGGCACTGATATTGTCTTCTTTTAAGGGAGACAAGTTAGGATGGAGATTCTTTATACTCAAGAAGGTTCTAAGTGTGTGTGTGACTGAGGGGCGTGTAATTCCACTTTAACAATATTCACGTTATTATTAGAGCCTCTCAGAAACATCAGGAAACAGCTTGTAGACAGCGTGAGTGACATATATGACTAAACTTCTTCTCAGCGATAGATCTTTGTTACCTTTCCACTGCCATCCTGCATCAGAGTGTGAATTCTCAATTACAACAATCTACCTCACATGGGTGAAATGTAAATTTGGGGGCTTTGGGAACTCTATTGGAACAAAGTGGAGAAAGATTTATGAATAATTTACTGTTTCCCAGATGAATTTTCGTTTGTTAGTTTAATCATATTAAACTGATATTTCTGATTGCCAGACATTTTATCTGAACAACTTGAATGTTGAAATGAAGTAGATATTCAAATTGAAATAAATTATGTTGTTTTCTTGAAGATATCCTGTTTTGTGCTGAAGTTTTAGTTTGATGGAGATATTTTCTTGAATCATTCTTGAAGTTCAACTCATAGGTATTGAATATATATACATGGATCCAGAGAGTGTGTGTGTGTTTTTGTGAGGACATGCGTGAGAGAGAGAGAGAGGACATGTGTGGGAGTGAATGTGTTTGCATGTGTGTATGTATCAGCACATGCATGGGAGTGGATATGTTTGCATGTGTGTGTTTGTGTGAGCATATGTATGAGTGTGGATGTTTGTGAGTGGATGTGTTTGTGTGAGCACATGTATGAGTGTGGATGTTTGTGTGAGTGGATGTGTGTGTGTGAGCACATGTATGAGTGTGGATGTTTGTGTGAGTGGATGTGTGTGTGTTTGTGTGAGCACATGTATGAGTGTGGATGTTTGTGTGAGTGGATGTGTGTGTGTTTGTGTGAGGACATGTATGAGTGTGGATGTTTGTGAGTGGATGTGTTTGTGTGAGCACATGTATGAGTGTGGATGTTTGTGTGAGTGGATGTGTGTGTGTTTGTGTGAGCACATGTATGAGTGTGGATGTTTGTGAGTGGATGTGTTTGTGTGAGCACATGTATGAGTGTGGATGTTTGTGCGAGTGGATGTGTGTGTGTTTGTGTGAGCACATGTATGAGTGTGGATGTTTGTGTGAGTGGATGTGTGTGTGTTTGTGTGAGGACATGTATGAGTGTGGATGTTTGTGAGTGGATGTGTTTGTGTGAGCACATGTATGAGTGTGGATGTTTGTGTGAGTGGATGTGTGTGTGTTTGTGTGAGGACATGTATGAGTGGATGTGTGTTTGTGTGAGTGGATGTGTTTGTGTGAGCGCGTGGATGTGTGTTTGTGTGAGTGGATGTGTGTGTTTGTGTGAGGACATGTATGAGAGTAGATGTGTGTGTTTGTGTGAGCACATGCATGGGAGTGGATGTCTGTTTGTGTGAGGACATGTGTGAGAGTGGATGTGTTTGCATGTGTGTGAGGACATGCATTCGAGCAGATGTGTTTGCATGTGTGTTTGTGTGAGGACATGCGTGGGAGTGGTGTGCTTGCATGTGTTTGTGTGAGGACATGCATGCGAGTGGATGTGTTTGCATGTGTGTGTTTGTGTGAGCACATGTGTGAGAGTGGATGTGTTTGTGTGAGGACATGCGTGAGAGTGGATATGTTTGCATGTGTGTGTTTGTGTGAGGACATGCGTGGGAGTGGATGTGTTTGCATATGTGTGTGTTTGTGTGAGGACATGCGTGGATGTGTTTGCATGTGTGTGTGTTTGTGAAGACATGCGTGGGAGTGGATATGTTTGCATGTGTGTGTGTTTGTGTGAGGACATGAGTGGATATGTTTGCATGTGTGTGTTTGTGTGAGGACATGTGTGGGAGTGGATGTGTGTGTGTTTGTGTGAGGACATGCGTGGGAGTGGATGTGTTTGCAAGTGTGTGTGTTTGTGAAGACATGCGTGGGAGTGGACATGTTTGCATGTGTGTGTTTGTGTGAGGACATGCGTGGGAGTGGATATGTTTGCATGTGTGTGTTTGTGTGAGGACATGCGTGGGAGCGGATATGTTTGCATGTGTGTGTGTTTGTATGAGGACATGCATGGGAGTGGATGTGTTTGCATGTGTGTGTGTTTGTGTGAGGACATGCGTGGGAGTGGATGTGTTTGCATGTGTGTTTGTGTGAGGAAATGCGTGAGAGTGGATGTGTGTGTGTTTGTGTGAGGACATGCGTGAGAGTGGATGTGTGTGTGTGTGTTTGTGTGAGGACATGCGTGAGAGTGGATGTGTGTGTGTGTGTGTTTGTGTGAGAACATGCGTGAGAGTGGATATGTTTGCATGTGTGTGAGCATGCATGCACATTAGCTCGTTGAAAGATGCTACATAATTTGTAATTTGGTGATATTTTTAAACAAAACAAGAAGACAAAGTCATCAATATCAAAATACTCTTCATGAATATGTCTACGAGTTATGATTATGTCAAATGGTTTGGCGTGTATATAGCAAAGTGGAAGGAGAGTACTGAAAGGTTTCAAAGTTCTCCAGAAGAAAGGAGCACTACCACCAAATTCAGTTGAAGCCAAAATTGTTGCCATGGAAAAGCAAAAACATTTTTTATTCAGAAATCCAAAACTACCAAAAGGTACCAGTTCACCACTAGACCTACCTATGTATGAAGTTTGGTGAAGAGACATTGAACGGTTTTAGAGTTCTGCTCCGGAAAAGAGTACTACCACCAATTTCAGTCTACGTCAAACTTGTTGCCATGGAAACGCAAAACATATTTTATTCAGAAATCCAAAACTACCGAAAGGCACCAGTAGACCACCAGATATATCTATGTGCCCAGTTTGGTGAAGAAACATTGAACGGTTTTAGAGTTCAGCTCCGTAAAAGACAAATGTGCACGGACGCACGCACGCACGGACGGACGGACAGAGTCCATTTTAATACACACACACGCAAAACGCGTTGCGGGGGATAATTACTTTTTCACACATGTTAGTAGTATTGTATTTTAAGTGCACACGTATAAACACTCACACACACATACACACTCAAACAACATTCTAAAAAGCTGAATCAGCAGTAAATAAGATGACAAGAACAAACACTATAGTCTAAGAAGATTCTGTACGTGAGCTATGAATAAACAGTCAAGTTAATTGGATAATCAAGCTTAATTAAGCAGTCTCATCCTAAACACAACTGGCAAGTCATCACAGAAGTGGGTTCTCACCCTCACACACCTGGCTGTACATTAAAGCTTGCCTCAAAAGCTGCGTGGACAGAGGATCAAAAGCTCTGTAACCTGGTTGACCAGTAAACTAAGACCCCTTCCCCCCTGAACTTTTCCCCTTAGTGGTGATCAGTGTTGAGGAAGACAGTATCAGTACCGACTTGGTGACTTGATGTTTGTTGTGAAGTCTATTCTAGGCCGCAATGCGTCTTCTTGACACAAACATGCTCTGTCTAGGTTTGACTTAATGGAGTCATCATTGTCTGAAGTGACAGCTGGAGAGTGGTCACAGTAACAACGAGTTGAGATGTAGTGAGTGATGTAGTAGTTGCCGTTGTGGTAGTAATATCAGTGGTAGTAGTAGTTGTATTTATAGTAGTTGCAGTGGTAGTAGTAGTAGTGGTTGTTATGGTGGAGGTAGTAGTAGTGGTGGTAGTGATGATAGTAGTAGTAGCAGTGATAATATTGGTGGTGGCAGTAGTGGCCGTGGCGGTAGTAGTGAGTGAGTGAGTTAAGATTTTAAGTCACATCGGCAATATTTCAGCCATATCGTGACTATAAACAAGTTTGAATTCACCATAAATACATGTAAATTATAAACACCTGTCAACGAAGGACAGTAAAATAACTAGAGGATCACAGATATTGATATAAAACTAGTATGGAAAACTAAAAACTTTTAACAATAGAAGACAGTACGATATAAAACCGGGCTATATGTTGCCAACAACTGAAGGTAGATCACCATACTAGCGACCATGGGGACTTACAGTACATTTGCTTCCTGCATGGACCCTAGCTGGATGTACACCATCCCTTCAGCTATTGGGAATTTTAGAGAATCTAGCCATAACTTAAAGTAACCTATATGCTACGATTCAAAATAGTAGTAGGTTTAAATTAACTTTGAATGTTTTGGGACTTACGTACCTTCTCAGGAGGACGGCGGTGGTAGTGGTAGTGGTAGTGGTAGTAGTAGTAGTAGTAGTAGTAGTAGTAGTAGTAGTAGTATTGTTGGTAATAACAGTAGCAGCAATAATAGTGGTGGTAGTTGTAATAGCGGTAGTAGTGGTAGTAACTGTAGAAGCAGCAGTAATAGTGAGGTGAGGTAAAATTGGGCTTTACGTCGTGCTTGAGAATATTTCGCTCATATGACAACGTGCATGCGTGTGTATCTGTATGTGCGGCTGCTTGTACTAGCCCAGACCGAAGCTGGTTTTAGTACTAGCCCACTGAGATACCATGCCGCAGTGAAGCATGAATACTCCACTCAGACACATTATACTGAGTCCGAGCCGACCAGTCCTTGTACCCATTAATGCCGAGCGCAGGGACCAACAAGTACCATATTTTAACGTCTTTGGTATGACGCGGTCGGGGATCGAACCCGCGACCTTCCGCTCTCCGGGCGGATGCTCTAACCACTACACCACGGAGGCGGTCAGTAATGACTATTCGTAGAACTAGTTTCTGAAGTTGAATCAGTGATGGCTGCTGTGTTAATAGTAGTTGAAGTTGGCGAGAAGGTAGTTTTAGTAACAGCGGGGTAGTATTGATGGTTGTGTCAGACAAAGTCAGAGTTATAGTAGTAGTAGTAGCAGTAGTTGTGGTGGTGGCTGAAATAGTTTTGCTTGTTTTGGAAATAGTTGTATTAGAATTGGTTGTTGCTGTAGCTGGCGGTGGTGGTGATTGTGTGAGAAGTAGTTGCTGTCGTCACAGTAGAAGTAGTTGTAGCGGTGGTTGTAGTAGAAGTGGTCGTAGTACCAGTTGTGGTTGCCGACGTAGTATTAGTAATACTTGTCATAGTAGTGACTGTTTTGTGCAGATAGCAGTAGTAGGTTACATTCCTGATCCAATCGTGTAATTCCGGGACAAGCCGAATACGGAGGTGACGGAAAGTTCATGTTTGTGCAGTAGCTATGTAGATCTTTGTACATCAGTGACGGTGAAATGAAAGTGGTGATCTTTACCCACATCATGTATCACATAGTGTCTACCAAAGGTCTCAGGCGAGTTAGTGTGATTGCTCTGCATCTGTGAGTGAATGAGTTGGGTTTTACGCTCTTTCTAACAGAACTAAATGAGTACAATGTGTTGTGCCGCTCGACTAACCTATCTTAGGACGACCGTAGCTGGTCCCGATGATACTATCCGATGCTAGGTAAGATCGAGACTCTTTCGTGCTGTCCATTCACACCACGCTGCTCAAACACCAAAAGTGAACTTGGTTGTAACACTACCCTTGCAAGTGGATTTGACGCATCTCTGAACAGCCAATTGTGGCGCCTAAATCACTGGTGACGGTGTTTCAAATATATTTGAACTAATAACACTGTTTCTGGCGTTATGAAGGACTTTTATTTTGCCGAGACGTGTATTTTCATGTTCCATTTCCTCTTGTTTCGTAAATAATGATCAGTTCGTAAACAAACTATTCAAAGTATTTAATTGTATAATTCATTTTCACACATTATCGACATTTCGTGACAATCCTAATCCGGCGATTTGTGACGTACCTGGTACCGCAGACGATACACCAAAAGGTCACGTGATGTGACGTGTCAAAGTGATGGAGTAGTGCAACGTGGTCTGCACGAGCTTTTGTGGTTTTGAAAGGTTTGATTGAACAGTGGAATTAGTGCGACCTTTGCAGTGTTGTTGGTCCTTTGACTGGTGGTCGACACAGTGCGTGGTAGCACTTGTTGTCCGGTGTTGGATATAACAAATAACCAAAGGTGCAAGACACGCGTCGTCATCCGGGCTGTTTGACGTCAAACGTGTCGCCAGATACAGCCTTTCGGCCGGTCTGGGGAGATAATTCCACAGACAGAAAATATTGTATTTGTACCTTTGAATCGTTGAAAACCGTTATACGGATGATTAATGAGCCAACTACGGAACATTTAGGGGTTTGGAGGCTCCGGGTTCAGTTAAAATGAGGGAGTCAAAACTTAACGTGGCATCAAGATTATTTCACCCATATAGCGACGAGAACAGCATTTAACAGAAAAAAGATACTAATACTTAAGCTGGAATATTGCTAAAAGCGGCGTAAAACCAAACTCACTCACTCACTCACTCACTAATACTTAAATTGTATATATACTTCCTTTCAAAAGTTTAGACTCACTGAAAACACTCAATACATGTTATGGATATATATATATATGGTTACATCGAAAATGAATTTCTCCACTAACTTGGGGGAACCAACTGCAAAACTTACGCAGATGAATTGCACGAGGATCATGTATCAAATTGCTGAAAAACGTGCAAATATCGTGCATGTGAACAGCTGCACTTTGTGTTACGTTTTGTTAAGAATTCGACAATTTGTACTGATTTTATCATTTATTGAACTCATGACAATAATCTTTTCAACGTTACGGATTTCATGTTCATGTTCATGTGTAAACAATACCTATAAACAGTATGGAATATTTTTCAAAATTTAGTTATGAGTGAGTGAGTTTGGTTTTACGCCGCTTCTGGCACTATTCCAGCAATATCACGGCGGGGACACCAGAAATGGGCTTCACACATTGTCCCCATGTGGTGAATCGAACCCGGGTCTTCGGCGTGACGAGCGAACGCTTGAACCACTAGGCTACCCCACCGCCCCTGTAACTGTTAAAACACAGGCTATAATCCACCAGCCACCCCGGCTTCCTGCACCACACACCCCCATGATTTACGTTATCACCTCCAGCTACTGTGGTTCTGTATTGTTCACACCAACAACCCCACCCCAAGAAATAAATATAACAAAATAATAATAATTAATGATTAGGCTCAAAACTTTAAGCTCCGATGTATAAACATCAAGTTTAACATCAAACAGTAAATTATTCATGAATATATTTAAACCTCATGTTTGGTTTGTTTTAACGCCGCACTCAGCAATGTTCCAGCTATATGTCGGCGATCTGTAAACAGTCAAGACCGGACCAGACAATCCAGGGTAAGTGAGTTTTACTCCGCTTTAGCAATATTCCAGCAATATCACGGCGGGGGACACCAGAAATGGGCTTCACACATTGAACTCATATGGGGAATCGAACCTGGGTCTATGGCGTGACGAGCGAACGCTTTAACCACTAGGCTACGCCACCGCCCCAACAATCTAGATGAACCCAGTCGACAGGTTTACTTACCAACCGACCCCTGCATCTTGCGGCAAGCGACCCGTGAAGATCCGGGTTAGAATTGGTCTTCAGTAACCCATGCTTGTCGTAAGAGGCGACTAACGGGATCGGGTAGTTGACTTGGTTGACACATGTCACCGGTTCCCAATTGTGCAGATCGATGCTCATGCTGTTGATCACCGGATTGTCTGGTCCAGACTCGATTATTTACAGACCGCCATATAGCTGGAATATTGCTGAGTGCGGCGTAAAACTAAACTCACTCACTCACTCACTCACACTTAAGGCAAGCACAGGTTGCTGTAGATCAGTTCTAACATGGATCCTCATTGGTCTTCTAAAACTGATGATACTTACTACTTTCATCATAAGGGATACACTCTGGAGGTTCATCCTCATCTCTATCTTTCAGATATCCGTGTTACAACTGTCTGTGGCCAAGACATCTTTTATGCTGAGGAGGGAATATACAGTCTTCTGTATGGGAGTGTGAGTGAGTGAGTTGGGGTTTTACGCCACTTTTAGCAATATTCCAGCAATATCACGGCGAGGGACACCAGAAATGGGCTTCACACAATGTACGGGGAATCGAACCCAGGTCTTCGGCGTGACGAGCGAACGCTTTAATCACTGGGCTATCCCACCATTGGGCTATCCCACTCGCGGTCTAAATTCTCCCCCTGAATTATAATAGTTCACAACTTCTTATGAGAGAATTTTAGAAGTTGGGTAACTGAGGAAGAATAACGATTCATGGATGAACTACTATTGTAATATTATAGATCTGAAGTTGTTCATTCATATAGTGTTATCCTTCCTCAGTTCCCAATCTACCAATGCTAATATGAGGAGACTAATGGATCGGGTGGTCAGCTTTGATGGCTGTTGATTGCATGGCCCGTACCCTGACGTCGTGGGACGGTTCCCATGATATAATTCACGGGCTCATCTGGTCCTAAATTGCAAACTTGCGTTTCTATTTAAAACGAAAGTATGGTGGTGTTGCCTCCCTTTGGTATGCCAGAATTTGGTTTCAATTTAACGGCCTTGGGTATTTAGTATCATAACACGTTGGTACACTGAATAATCGATGGGTTATAGTTGAAATTGGAATATTTGATGAACAATTCTCGCAGAGACAACTTGCCATGAAATATAAACCTGGAGATAAATAGTATGGTTCCAAAACATAACAGTATGTATGGAATGGCTTGCAACTATAATGAGATTCACGCGCGTGATCTTTGTACATGAATGTACATGTAAAAGAAACAAACGTTGAGTTCAACGTCGTGTTTTTCAACCGACACTGAGGTTGGACAAGATTCTTCCAGTAAACATATGTAAATTAAACGAACTGCCGCCTATTTGATCAGCATCTTAATACATCATTTCTTGTGTTCAGTCTCTGCGAAATATATGGTGTATCCAGCAAGTCTGGGTGGCTGCCTTCCATACTCGCTGCAGCAACACGATCACTTTGCACACTCCACGTTGCCCTGGGCGAGAAAAGACGCCGACAGCAGGTAGCCCGTCCAAGTTCATGTCGTGCTGTCTCGCCTTGCGTCATTTGGGAGGGAACTGGGCTGCGCGTGTCAGTTTTAGCCAGACAAGAGACAGGGATCTGAGGTGAAAGAGTGTATGATGTTGATACTTGGAAATGTTTCTTACATATATTTCTTCATTCCATTGCTTTTGAGAACGGTCGCTTCAATTCCGACGATGAAATATTATCTCATGAATATGTTTCACCATGTTGGACGCCATGTCAGTTACAATGAAATACTGTCCAATGCCATATTATTCTCAGGGTGTCCTGATACCAAAGTGGGGTCTCATCTGCAAAATAAATGACACCCAAATCTCGTGCTGGTCGGAACAAGAGGTCAAACAGGGTGTCAGGTGAAAATTTTGTCCGAAGCAGCTCTCAGATTGGGTATCAGGTGGTTTTCCTGTTGGAAGTTGGTATTTTAAGTCCGTCACATAGCTGGAATATTGCTGAGTGCGGCGTTATACAATAAACAAACTAATTCAAGTCAAATTATAGTCCGTTTGGCTCAAAAGCGGACCGATGAATTGCAATCTAACTCGAAAACTAATAAACATACAGGTGTTCGAGAACGGATGGAGACGGCACAGCACAGGTTAATGAATAAATAACTTTGTCTGTGAACGTGCTTCTCTAACACCTGGCTGTCCCTTTCTCTGCACTCCTCCCTCGTAACAAACAGTGAACTGTGTCAATATTTTAATGATAGATTGTTAAACAACTTTTTTATTTTTAGGACAAACATTCTGCAAAAACCTCACAGAGTGGGTATGATGTTTTGATTATGATCAGCGTTTCATTGAGTATTTTATGTTTATTAGTTTTCGAGTTAGATTGCAATTCATCGGTCCGCTTTTGAGCCAAACGGACTGTTTGTTTTTTGTAGGTATGGTTACTCTGTCGGAAATGGCGATCCTTATGGTCGTGGAATGGTTACCCTTTCTGAAGTTGCTATCGCACTGGGTCCGTTTCACAAAGGGATCTAACGCTACGGCAGTCGGAAGTCTATGTTAAACTGTGGGAGTTTCGTAAGACGTGGTCGCTTTGTGATACAGGGACCTAATTACTGGATAAGTACCTTGATAGGAAGTTGCAATCTTTCTGGGTTGCGTGCGGTTGTGACACTACCATGTCGGCCGTCACGCTCAAACCATGTCGGAAGTGGCACTTAGAATGGGTATCGGGTGGCTCACCTGTGACCATGGCCGATTCTGTGCCATAAAATGACAAAGTGAATCTTAGCTCATTTTATTTAACTCTGGTTTGTATGCGCCAAACTCGAGTGTTTCCAAACCGCCGTGATTTCGATGGTTTTATCCCAACTGCCACGTACGAACTGCAACACTGGGCAGAAGGGCAGAAGGGCAGAAAATCAAAACAGCATCAATCGACGATCTGTGTCAAGTGAATAAGTGAGTTTAGTTTTACGCCGCTTTTAGCAATATTCCCGCAATATCACGGCAGTGGACCAGAAATGGGCTTCACGCATTGTACCCATGTGGGGAATCGAACCCGGGTTTTGGGCGTGACGAGCGAACGCTTTACCACTAAGCTACCCCACCGCCCCCGTAGGGACCAGAAAGATACCCTGTTCGTTAAGGGTGAGGGTGGGAGCAGTCCCAAAGATTGGTTCAATTGTCCTCGTGAAACTTTCATGGTGACACGTACACCGTTGACGTCTCGGTTAAAAATTCCAAAAAGTTTCGTAAAGTTGTCATTTCTCCACGCAGCTGGTCCAGTTGATTGCCCTTCAGTGAGGGCCCCAAACCCTTTTCGGTACGCCCTGTTAAATGGTATTTAGAAGTTTGTGTCATGTGGTTGATCATGATTTCACCATGCCTGTTTTCTAACATGCTCCTCGCCCGTGAAGATCCGTGATAGAATAGGTCTTCAGCAATCCATGCTTGCCACAAAAGGCGACGATGCTTGTCGTAAGAGGCGACTAACGGGATCGGGTGGTCAGGCTCGCCGACTTGGTTGACACATGTCATTGGTTCCCAATTGCGCAGATCGATGTTCATGATGTTGATCACTGGATTGTCTGGTCCAGACTCGATTATTTACAGACCGTCGCCATATTGGAATATTGCTGAGTGCGGCATAAAACTAAACTCACTCACTCACTCACTAACATGCTCCTCTATAGAGTATAATTTATAAGTCGACTGCAACCATCATTATTGTTACTGCTGCATTATTTCACCAATGCCTTTACAAATGATACGGGGCGGTTGGATAGCTCAGTGGATAATGCGTTCGATTGTCACGCCAAAGACCCGGGTTCGATCCCTAATGGGAACAATATGTGAATACCATTTCTGGTGTCCCCCGCCGTGATATTGCTGGAATATTGCGTGAAACCCAAATCACCCCCTCACTACAATGATAAGACTTCTTTTCTTTGAAAGACACGTAAACTGTTCAGAAATTGTCAAGGAACAAATCTCTGTACACTCTATCAACCGTCTGTTGACATAATTTTGTGATCCGTGGCGATAATTTTTTCCTAAAGTGTGCCCTGAATTTTCACAAACAAGTGAAGCTGCGATAATTTACATTGGCAGAGTAAGGACCCGTCAAACAGGAAACCGAAGAAGTGTCGTCTGCCCCTCCCAGTCAGCAGACGAGATAAACAAGCCGCCTCTCTGGCCCCGGGCAATGCAAGTTGTGAATGGGAGATTACCCATGAAAAAATACACGATTTGTTCGAAAGACGTTCCCAAATGTCGATATAATCTCCCGGAAGTGCGTGGACAGATCTTTGTTGCACCCATAGGATTCCCCGGCTTGACGTCCTTTCCACGAGGTATTACGTCATTACGTATTATTGCGAAGTTAGACCATGATCGAAACCAGTTTTTTCATGAAAGTCAAGTAAACGCGGTAGTTTTCCATGCACTGTAGAGTATCTGTATACCTTGATTGGGTATCATGCCACGCGCCTTCATCACATCCTCTCGATCATTGGAACGCTGTTCTCCATTTCGCTGTTACAGAACAAATTTGAAAAAGCATTTTCATCTTTTTTTTTATAGCTGCAAAAATCCATGAAAATCAAAGTTGGCCTGTGTAGGTTTCTGGTCTGGAAAATGTTGATAAAGTGATCTGACGTCTGGTTTCAATAGAAACAATGGTGTACTTCCGAGATATAATGTCTCGAAGTGGAAAATGTCCGGATCCCGGTTTAAGACAAACTTTGAAGCGATGTCCGAAACCAAATTAATTGTCTTAAACCATATTCTGGGGCGGTGGGGTAGTCTAGTGGTTAAAGCGTTGGCTCGTCACGCCGAAGACCCGGGTTCGAATCCCAACATGGGTACAATGAGTGAAGCCCATTTCTGGTGTCCCCCGCCGTGATATTGCTGGAATATTGCTAAAAGCGGCGTAAAACCAAACTCAGTCAGTCAGGAAAACCATATTCTAAACTCCCCATGGTATTCAACAGTCAGTCGTCAACAGATGTTTCATGTTTCGACTTCCTGGCTTCTGTGTGGCATTTCATCTTTTGTTTGTTTGTTGTTTAACGCCGCACTCAGTAATATTCCAGCTATATAGCGGATGTCTGTAAATAATCGATCTGCGCAATTGGGATACGATACAATGTGTCAACCAAGTCACGTTAACGTGGATTTTGGTTTTTCAATCGTTAATGCGTGTCCCAATATATACATCATACAGCTGGAGAGGAATTTTGCTTAAATTTGTTCAGGATAATGCATGTTTATATCGACGTGCATGCACGTGTGTGCGTGGCTGCTTGAACTGTCCACATGCCGGTTTTATAGTGCTCACGCACTGAGACACCATGCCGTAGTTTATGGATACCAACACAAGAGACCCGTGAAGGTCTGGGTTAGAATTGGCCTTCAGTAGCCCATGCTTGTCGTAAGAGGCGACTAATGGGATCGGGTGGTCAAGCTTGCTGACTTGGTTGACACATGCCATCGGTTCCCCATTGCGCAGGTCGATGCTCATGCTGTTGATCACTGGGTTGTCTGGTCCAGACTCGATTATTTACAGACCTCCGCCATATTGCTGGAATATGGATGAGTGCGGCGTCAAACTAAACTCACTCACTCACTCACCAACACAAGACACAGCGCACTGACGCCAAGACCAGGCCGGGTAACAAAAAGTACCAGTTTAACGTACGCGTCATACTGAAAATGAGCCGAGAGGGATCATCTTTTATCCCGTTAATTCCGAGCGTCAGGCAGGATCGATTTCCCCCATCCCCAGTCCCACCCCTAGCCATAATTTATAAACGGTCCCTTACTTTCTTCAAGAATTTCTCCATTAGGCCTACAGAAGAACCGGATGTTCTATTCAAAGCCATATTGTAACATCAAGAGTGGTAAAGTAATGGTAAAGTTTGTGCAATTAAAGTCCGTATTAAACACGGCATATAGATTGTAATGAAATTAATATAGTTACAATGTGACGATCTAATGCTGTATTTCAACCTTGAACTCGATTCAATTCAATTCAATTCTTTATTGTATGAAAGGCCATAGGACCATATACAAAAGAGAAACATCTTGACAATGGCATATATAATCAACTTTCTAACTAATCAATTCTTTTCTTAACAAAAATGGATTGTAGATAAATAGAGCAACTTTGTGTTGTTTTGGAGGTTCTTTGCAGGAAAGTAAGGAAGACAATAGATTAACGTTGATTTGAGATAAAGACAGTTGCGGTAGATACTTATTTCTTAGATTTTCACATACAGGACAAATAAACATAAAATAGAATTCGTCTTCAATAATGTAACAGAATGGACATAATCTTTGGGTTTTTTCCATAGAAACATATCTTCCACGGTTAATTAATAAATCATTAAGGCCTAATCTTAACCGTATAAAAGCATTGCGAATATTTCTGTATTGAAGGTGAGCAAGATAACACTCTGGCTCAAGCAACGACTTAAATTGACGAAATGAATCATATCTAGAACTTTCATTAATAGTTGAATGCCATTCCTGCTTAAACATATCAATAGCCCGCATACGAAACTGTTTAATAAACATATTTGCATTGCCAACTGTCTGTGATAACCAAATACAACCAAAACCATATCTAAATAGTAAGGTGCGAATATGAGATGTCCAGTTATTCTTTCCAAGATAATCAAGATGTAAAAGCATATTGAAAGCTTTTTTAGGTAAACGATGTTCAGGCATATTAATGATTTTACACCAATATTTTAAACAACGACAATAAGATGATATGTACAATGGGAACCTCTCACATTCACCATAAACCATAACATTTGGTGTTGACAAACCAATATTTAGAAACTTTTTACAGGCAAGCAAATGAATTTTTTCTATGGTATAATACTCTTTAAAACCCCATATTTCAGATCCATACAGTAAAATCGGTTGTATCTGAGAGTCAAATAATTTGAAGTAAATAGTCGGTGGAACAAGACCGAGCATAGGAAAAACAGAGTGAAGTTGTAAAAGAGCTTTCTTTGCTCTCCTCGCCAGGTTAAGTATGGACTTATTCAGATTCAGCGTATGGGTAAACAATATGCCAAGGTATTTATAATCATTCACAACATTCATAAGTTTATCTTTTAAAAAACATTTCTCTCTAGCCGACAAAGGACCACCTCTACGGAATATAACGATGTTTGTTTTATCTAGATTCACACTCAACTGCCATTTATCTGTATATGCTGAGAGTATATCTATTTGATTTTGAAGACCAATTACAGAGCTGGACATAAGAATGACATCATCAGCAAATAATAACATAAAAAGTTCGATTACATCGGGAGAAAGTTGGATGCCATGTTTACCAGACTTCATGATATCTAAATATAATTCGTTAATGAAAAGGGAGAAAAGTAAAGGACTTAAAATACATCCTTGACGCAGACCGACAGGACAATCGAAAAAGTCACTTACACCATAGCCACAGCGGACACATAACTTTACATTGGAATACATCGATCTTATGATACCATACATTTTACCCCTCAAACCTATATTTCTTAAGCATTTCCACATTCTACCTCTATCTACAGAATCAAACGCCTTTTTGAAATCTACAAAAGCTACATACAACTTTCGCTTGCTAAAGGATAAATATCTCTCAATAATAGCATACAAGGTAAATATATGATCAAATGTTGAGTAGTCCTTTCTAAATCCTGCTTGAGGTTCCGGTATTAAATCTCAATCGTCAAGGACACGTCCGATACGGAAGACCTCATCCACATTTAATAGAAGAACACCGTCTCGATATGGCGGACATGTCGATCGAAATCGGTCGTCTGCTCTCCGTTTGACCTCTAGTTGGTTGACACCGGAAGTGTTACCAACACGGTTACGGCGCACGTGTTTTCATCTGTTATGTCAAGATATGACAGCTATCGAGTTGTCAAAAGTGTTGCACAATTGGACTAACGTCAGGTGGCTCTGGAATGCAAGGTATAAAGCGACTCGGAATGTATTACGTGGAAGTAGGATTATCACAATCTTTGTTCACACAGGTTATATCATGTTTGTCTAGAGGGCTGTATATCTTCAAATCGTGTAAAACTCTCGTTTACAAATATCGAAATTGGTATCTTAATTACTTAATTTGTGGCAGAAAATAAACCTCTTAGTCGTTATATGCGTCATCTCTCTCTCTCTTTTTTTACATGTAATAAATGGAGACATATGCATTTAATAACAATAATATCATATAAGACTTGTATAGCGCCCTAAATGATTTAGAAACTAAAACGCTTTACCCGTGAAGATCCGGGTTAGAATTGATCTTCAGTAACCGATGCTTGTCGTAAGAGGCAACTAACAGGATCGGGTGGTCAGGCTCGCTCACTTGGTTGACACATGTCATCGATTCCCAATTGCGCAGATGCTCATGCTGTTGTTTACTGGATTGCCTGGTCCAGACTCGATTATTTCCAGACCGCCGCAAAATAGTTGGAATATTGCTGAGTGCAGCGTAAAACTAAACTCACTCACTCACTCTAAGACGCTTCACAGAAAGTCACAAGTGCTTCTCTTGCTTTGCTTTGTTCCTCGAAGAGGATTACACATCAAAAACAGAAACTGGTGGTGTTTGGTGGGTTTTCCAAAACCATTAACGGTTATCATTCTAAGTTCGTTTTGAAAAAATAGGAATATTTGGGTTAAGTGATTATAGTGTGAAGAATATCCAAACAGTCGAGCGTTTATTGCCAGTTGGGAAGTCGTAGTTGTCTGTAGAAATCCGTCAGTGCACATTGCACTCTTTAGCGGGACTTATCATAGCATCGGGCGATAGCATCGAGAATAGAACAACTTGTAATGAAGTCTTTGATAAGTACTTTGCTTAAAGTTCATATGATGACATTTTGCTGAGTGCGGCGTAAAACTAAACTCACTCACTCACTAATGTTGCATCGTATTCCAAATGCCAAGATCGATGCTCACGATGTCAGTCAATGGAGGGCCTCGTCCACGCTCCATTACTTACAGATGGCAATCCTGCATGGAACTGAATATTGCCGAGTGCGGCGTTTAACAACAAACAAAACTATTGTTAGCGTTACCATAATCACCTCTTTACACGAGTGAGTGAGTGAATAAAAAAACAGTAAACATCAGCGTTTAGGCAACTCAAACATTGACATCTCGAAGTAACGCAAAGGCCCAAAACAGCATCGTTATACAGCTAATACAGATATCACAATAATTCCTCAACACGATGCTGCTGCATAAATGCATACTCATTTGAACCTGGAGTGCCAATGGTGGATACTGTGCATTTCAAGATGATGTTAAATGTTACCAAGAAATAGTGGAAATAGATAATAAAAACCCACCCCAAACAAAAATAACAACCCAAAACCACAACAACAAAAACCTGACAAAACCTTTTCTATAATCATAACAAATCATCACTGAGATATCCAAAAGCAGCGCTCATTGTAAGATTCCGGTTAAACCATGATTAGAGATTATTTTAAACGCGCATGTGAGTCATACTGCTTTTACAAAGAGAGTGTAAGAATTGCCGAGCAAGATAGAGAACACTAAATACATTCTTCCACGCGTTTCGTAAAATCAGTATGACACGCATGCAAGTGTAATAAAATTCTTTATTTTCCGTTGTTTCCTAATCTTTATAAACTCTCCTTTAGGGATATGCACTTATTACGTCCACCGTCAATGAAAACCGGGGCGGTGGGGTAGCCTAATGGTTAAAGCGTTGGCCAGTCACGCCGAAGACCCGGGTTCGAATCCCCACATGGGCACAATGTGTGAAGCCCATTTCTGGTGTCCCCCGCCGTGATGTTGCTGGAATATTGCTAAAAGCGGCGTAAAACCAAACTCAGTCAGTCAGTCAATGAAAACCACGAATGTCGAATAACGTCAACAATCGAATAACGTCACAATGGCGACGTCATTCGATTGTTGACGAACCTACGATTCGAATGACGTCAACAAAACCCTCCGGATCACGTACACAATATACACTGATGCGTGTTAATTTTTATTAATTTGATTATTTCTGGCATAACAAGTATGCTTATAATGAATGTATCAACAAAAGCGATGATGCCAGGTGTTCGAAAAATTGAGAGCATTACATTTTACGTCGTCAAATGACTCCTACACCTAAATGCGCCTTCATTAATATTCACTCGTGATTATACCTCAAACTTAAAAGCAGGTTTGGAATAGATCAACACGCTGTTTACATCCTTGCAGTATCCAACACGCCCGCTCCGCCATCCAGAAACAGATATCTTCTCGCCTCCGTGACAAGAGAGCACGCACGTGACGATGATACGCTGGCCCTGGGAGGGGGAGGGGGGTCAGAGGTGAACAGGGAGGGTGTACAGGTGATTAAGGAGTTTGGGAAGGCTGGACAACCAGGTGATGAATGTAGAACAAGGGGTCGGCAGGAACCTGTCCTTGGCGGATCTCAGCCTGGTATAAAAGAAGGTGAGAGGTGAAACAGCGGTTTAATCTATTTGTGTTTGCCGGGGATAATTCACTCTGATGACCAGTTAACGTTCATTCAGGTGAGTTTTTACTGAATCAACTTGTGGTTCACTCTTTTTAGTAGTCCTCAATTCAATATTCTAAGAGGAACAGTTTTTATGGATAGACAACTTCTTTATTGCAAAAGATGCGACGAGATCACTTTTTTGATCTACACTGAAACGTCGCATCTTTTTTTGAACTTGTCTATCCTTTAAAATCGTTCATTTTCATCATACAAACTTCTAAATGCCATTTAAAGAAATTGAATATTCTGGAAGTAAGAGCCAAATAATTCCTTTGGGACATACAATTCATAATTGTTCAGAACCTCTAGTGTATTTAGCGGTCAGTCCTATTCATGCAAAGGGGTTTTCAAAGTAGAACTTAGATGTGACACTCTATCTAACTGTCGTCCAGTTGATGTTCTTAAGAAAGAGCCACATAATTGTTTGGGATCCACAATACACAATTATTCAGTATATATATTTGTCGGGCCCATTCACGCAGGTGGGTTTCTAGAGAATCTACTACTTTCATAAGCGTATTTAGAAGTCGTCCATGAATATTCTGATAGAAACAGTTAAACCAATTTTGAGGACTTCCAATACATAATTGTTCAGGACATTCAGTATATTAAATGGTCGTTACATTTAATGATTGGAGGCTCTATATATGTATATTCCTGGTGTCAGCGCCGGAATATTGGAGTAATATTATTTAAAGCAGCGTAAACCCTAAATGTGTGAGACCTGCATCACTTCGGGGTTTCCTCCTACGTAAACCAGACACGCCCTTTTATGACTGGAATACTGTTCAAAGTGACCTTACTCACTCACTCACATGTAGGAAAAACAACTAAATAAAGCTCACTTTCCGCGAAGCAACTCAGTTATAAATATAATACATCTCCATAAACATAAGAAATATCTGCTTGAATCACTGTGCGATTCTAATTATATCATAAGTATATGATAAGGAATCACCTTCAACTGATTGATTGAGTTTAGTTTTACGCCGCTGTTAGCAATATTCCAGCAATATTATGGCGGGGTTCACCAGAAATTCTACCCATGCGGGAAATCGAACCCGGGTCTTTAACGTGACAAGCGAACGATTAGGCTACACCACCGCCCCGAATCACCTTCAAACAATAATGGGTTCGTGAAAAAATCAGCACATCCTGACTCCAACCGTGTCACACGTCAGAAACACATGCACAGGCAAATTAGGTGTTCACCTACACAGAATTAGACATATAAAGGTCCAAGTAAGAAAGAGCTTTGGACATCATATTTTGTCACTGATGATTTACTCATAGCGGATATGTCCTCAAAGAATGTTAATAATTTCGTTAAACCAGATCATTAGAATCACCGATGTCACCTTTTTGAAGTGCCTGCATTATGATGCTTAGAGCAGCTCGAAACCCCAATGAAGTACTCGGGGTGGTACGGTAGGGTAGCCTAGTGGTTAAAGCGTTCGCCTGTCGCGCGGAAGACCCGGGTTCGATTCCCCACATGGGTACAATGTGTGAAGCCCCTTGCTGTCCGCCGTCATGTACATTGCGGGAATATTGCTAAAAGCGGCCATAAAACAAAACTCACTCACTCTTCTGTTGACGCTTTCAGTAAAAGACACCCGGTGTCACCCTTTTAAAGTGCCTGCATTATGATGTTCAAAGCAGCTCGAAATCTCACTCACACACTCACTCACTCTGTTTCAGGATGCCATCCCGCTGTGTCCAAATCTTGCTGCCGTTCGGAGTGACCTACACGTTGTTGGTGATCTCACTCTGGAACGTCTTGATCTTCCTGGGGCCAATCATATCCTCCAAACTCCAGGCCATGGGTGACGTCACGAGCCGGGGACGGATAAGAGTGTTCCACGGCATACCCAAACAGCCGATGGCTGTGGGTGTCCCCGTCAAGTTTAAATTGCTGACTCTGCTGAAATTCCACCCACATCCAGCTAATGAAACTTTCCTCAAAATAGGATCTAACGGTACCGACGACAGTACTCTTGGAAATAAGACTGAACGTTCCCCAGAGAGTGACGATTGTACATTGAACCTTGATGTGACAGACCAATGCTTATCTTTAGTGAAAGGTTCTGATGTGAAGACGTTGAACAAACAGCCGATAATTCCGAGACCTCAGTGTACACTTGGGAACTTATTAAAAAACTGTACGAGGTTCAGATATACACATAGGTACGAAGACAAACCGGTGACCTCAGAGGAATTAGAATATCCTCTTGCATTTGCAATCAAGATGCACACGGCTCCAGAACAGGCGGAACAGTTGCTGAGGACGATCTACCGGCCACATAACGTCTACTGCATCCACGTCGACCAGAAAGCTGAAGCAGGAGTGTTTGAGACAATGAAATCCATCGCAGGTTGTCTTGACAACGTGGTGGTCATTGAAAACCGAACGGCGGTCGTGTACATGAGCTCTGCAGCCATTCAAGCTGAGATGAAGTGTATGCAGAAGCTTCTGGAGACCAAGGTCAAGTGGAAATATTACATCAACCTTGCTGGTCAAGAGTTCCCACTTCGAACCAACCTGGAAATTGTCATGATGTTGAAGAGGCTAAACGGCGCAAACGACATAGAGAGTTACGATCATCCAAGATTTCAGGAATGGCGATTCAAGAAGAAGTTCCTGGTTATCGATGGTAAACTTGAACAGACCAACGTCAACAAGGAACGTTTTGGGTATGACATTCAACTGAGCAAGGGGAGTGCGTATGGGATGTTTAAAAGAGAATTTGTGCAGTTCGTGTTAACGGACGATGTTGCGCGTAAGTTAATAAACTGGTTAAATGACACGTCATCTCCGGAAGAGAACCTTTGGGCGACCTTGAACACTCTTCCGTGGGCGCCTGGGGGAACGTACGTTGAGACAAGACAGACATTCAACACCCACGCCTCTCGCGCCCTCATCTGGAACTGGGACAGAGACGTCTGCCACGGCACCTTCGTCCGTAGTGTCTGTGTATTCGGTTCTGGGGATCTGAAATGGTTGGCCTCCAGACCAAACGCCATCGCGAATAAATTCAACAACGACCTTGACCCTGTTCCTCTGGATTGTCTGGAGTCGTGGTTACAACGTCGTCTGCTCCATCCCCTACTCCAGACCGTTGACAAACAATATCTTGCTAATTTACCGCATGTTAAGTACTATAATAATATTGACTTTTCGCATCTTTCAACAAAATACTTGCAAGAAAAGAAAAGGAAATGGCTAAAGAAACATTCGTGGAAACCCTTCTGATGACGTATTATTGAACACAGGCTGTACAATCACTTCGGCCCGGTAGCCATGACAGTATCGTTCATGAAGCTCCTCACAGCGATAGTTCGTGAAACTCTGTACACTATTGCTATTATCTCCGCTGTCCAAGGCGGATTACAACCTCACTCCCGTCTGAGAGCTTGTGATGATCATCTGACACTGATCTTCCCCCACCCGCCACCCCACCCGAGCTAAGTTCATATGTTGGTTGTCAGTTTGAAATTATATTTCATTTCAACTATCATCAATTCTGTCGAGTGAGAATGCGGGGTAGTTGGGTTTTTTCCCTGTAAATAATCTCGAACCGATGTGATTAAATAACCAAACGTAAATTCTCATAGGAAATTGTAAATCAGACCTATACTTTATCCCAGTTGACAAGAAAGGCATTCCCAAAGACATACACTAACATTTAAAGGTCACTACGTTTGGGGTTAGAGGGTAACTTTCCAGATTCTGTAATGGCCGCGAGGGTAGGAAGAAGTCACGCACTGGGAAGACGCTTGATCATTCCTGTCACTCACGCTGTTACAGATAGTTTAGTTAACGTTTCCTGAAGTTTCTAAACCTTGAATTGTCGTATCCATTATCCTTCAGGTAGTAATCTGCATACAAACTTTTTTTCGTGACGAGGGGTTTGAAGAACAAATAAGCTTTTATTGAGGAAGGAACACTACAAATACTAATCAACAGAACTTGCCACACGTTAAACGTAACCTCTTCAATACTCTTTCTCTTACCGAACATTGATGACAAATATACTTCACATGAAACAAAAACATCAAACTGGCAATAAAAATGATTGACGTGAAAAATATCAAGTGACGCCAAAATCTCAAGAAACAACGTTTGGCTTTAGTCTACTTGAATCTGACAATGTTAGTCTAATCGACAGTTTAAACGTCCACTGTGAGTAGTTTTATTCCCGGGTTTTGTGCCCCGTTTCACATACCGATGAAAGCGCCGCCTGTGTATGTTTAAGAATACAGGAGTGACGATTGTCGAAGCTACGATCGTGAAACGGGTCCTAAGACAATGGAGAGGAAATCATCTTAATGAAAGGAACATTTAAGTCGAATATTGTATTTTCCACTAAAATATACTTCATATGAAGGTTGTCATAGCTACGCAGAGTACATGGGCCTTTGGTAGATGCCGCTTATGCACATATATTCATCAGTATATGAAAAAATATGAGCATCAAGAAATTTGGATTTCTTGACGCGACGTCTCAGAGTTATAGGCAGCAGTGGGAAAACATGTCAATAGACCCGTGAAGATCCGGGTTAGAATTGGTCTTCACCCGTGAAGATCCGGGTTAGAATTGGTCTTCAGCAGCCCATACTTGTCGTAAGAGGCGACTAACGGCATCGGGTGGTCATGATGCATCATATTCCAATTGCGTAGTTCGATGCTCATGATGTCAATCACTGGAGTGTCTGGTCCAGATATTTACAGACCGCCGTTTCGTAGCTGGAATACTGCTGAGTGCGGCGTTAAAACAAACTTAACACCTATTGTGTATAATGATACATATATTATAGTCATTTATTTTGAAATAAAGTTTATGATTTTTGCTACGCATCTCTGTTTTAGTTAAATGAGCAAACTTACGTCATATATGCCCTAAGTATAAACAGTTTTCGCTACGGAAGCGAACTATTCAACCTTATGGGTCAACGTGTCAAGGTCTGGGATTGTAGTAATTAAGTGAGTTTGGTTTTACGCTGCTTTGAGCTATATTCCAGCAATAACACGGCGGGGAACACCAGAAATGGGCTTCACACATTGTACCAATGTGGTGAATCGAACTCGGGTCTTAGGCGTAACGAGCGAACGCTTTCACCATTAGGCTAACCTACAGCCCCAGGAAAACCCCTACCAAACAGGATTGTTTGGATTTCAGGCACGGTACAGAATTGCTGGATTGATTTTACTGTTTGCGTCATGTCATTCATGACGTCTTTCACGTGACGCAAGATGGAAGACACTAGTTCGTCGAGACATAAAAGTTGAAAACAAAAAACATTATTCCAAGCATGTACAAAACTCGATTTTCTCGGAAAATAAAACATATTCAAACTCCACGTTTCGACAAAAGATCTGGGTATATGACGTCATATGCGAGGCAGAACCTTCGACGTTAGCCGTGGTTTGAGGTCAGGATCGTATATATACTGAACATCATTGAAAACGCACCACTTGTGTTAGTTTGGATTTCCAAGAGCATAAATGAGCAATCGGTATAAATTTTACATATTTTTGTAGTCCAATGATTGGTAAAGAAAGGAAACAAGAACCAATCCAGCGAAACAGTGAAGTTTTAATTCAGCTGACCATGAAAGAAAGATGGAGTCAAATTGGAAAGTCAGTAACGTGTATGACCACCGTTAGCAGCAACACAAGCTGTGCAACGTCTCCTCATTGAACTGATAAGTCTCTGAATAATGTTTTGAGGCAATGCATTCCACAGTTCCCCAAGGTTGTTGATCTATGGGCGACGTGAGAGGCGTTGGCCGATGTAATCCCCCAAGTGTTCTATGGGAGACAAATCAAATCTAGTGACAATGCAGGCCATGGAAGTTGAGGAATGTTGTTGTTTGCCAGAAATTGTGCTGCAACACGTGCAGTGTGCGCTCGAGCATTGTCCTGTTGGAATGTGTGCAGATCTTGATGTTGGTTAAAGAAGGGAACGACGTTGTTCTGAAGAATGGTGTCACGGTAGTAAAGGGCATTCACTCTGCCACGACAAACTACCACCCCACCGATCTGTTTGCACAACACAGTCCTGATGGTAACGTTCTCCCCGTCGACGCCATACCCGTATTATAGACGCCCGTCAGCATTTCGCAAGTGAAAACGTGACTCGTCGGAGAACACAACACCATGCCAACGTCGTAACAACCACAAACTACAGTCCGTTTGGCTTAAAAGCGGACCGATGAATTGCAATCTAACTCGAAAACTAATAAACATAAAATACTCAATGAAACGCTGATCATAATCAAAACATCATACCCACTCTGTGAGGTTTTTGCAGAATTGTTGTCCTAAAAATAAAAAAAGTTGTTTAACAATCTATCATTGAAATATTGACACAGTTCACTGTTTGTTACGAGGGAGGAGTGCAGAGAAAGGGACAGCCAGGTGTTAGGTATTTTACTTGACTCATGCCTTGTTAAAGTTAACAATTGTTTACACGACTGTCAAAAATATGATACACTTGAATTTACAGGGAACCTTACTCTTAAAAAATGAAACTGTATCAAAACTTACAGCAGATTCTGTTTTGGGGGTTCCCGTTGGTTGTATGTTAGGGGTGCCTGCACACCCTGCTGTTAGAACCTCCCCCGAACTACTTGTAGAAATGAGTCAACTGTCAAGAACAGGCGCGTAGCAAGCTATTTTTACATGTAATCCTGATAGGTTGCAAAGCCTTATATTTAGATAGTATGGAGGGCTTGCCCAACATTTTTAGCAACAATCATGTGTAAGCCCGGGTTTTTTTCTATAATGGTAGCTACGCCCCTGAAGAATCATAAACACTTCCCAGGTCCGTGAATACACAGCCCAATAATAGTCGGTACTTCCAATGGGTTTTCAAAACTGTGGCAGCACTCAATAAACAGGGCCACGCGCAAATGATCATAGGCATACAAACGTTATGCACGAAGCTTGCATGTAACAAAGTAAGTAAGTAATACAAATGAACGAAATATAGACTATTCGAATTAGTGTGAAAATTGTGAACTCACGTAAGCAAATACTTTTAAATAGTTTTTGTGAACATACAACATGATATACAACATTATTCACACTCAAATATGTTCATCTTCATGGGATTTATAACGCAAAAATACTCACGAATCAGAATATCACATCAGAATATAGAATGATCCATCACACAAACGCTTCACATTTATGTCTTTTTAACAGTCATTTACCATGAAACCGCCAGAATACCTAAACACGCACAGCACAACATACTGGCTGCACGCTGTTTTCCCCGCTCACCCTAACAACGAACATTAAACTTGGCGCCAACAGCCCCTAACTGAAACCGTTCGCTAACTAAAAACGACTTTGATAAGACTGACTGAGTTTAGTTTTACGCCGCTTTTAGCAATATTCCAGCAATATCACGGCGGGGACTTTGATAAGAAGATTGAACAGGACAATACATTTGTAATGTATGTATCTTATTAGTCTAAACAGTAATTACTTACATTATCATGTTTATATATGAATACCATTAGAATAATTATATACATCTGTGCATAAAATAAGCACCACCCTGTAATTTTACCAGTTAATTTGGTCTGAAATGTAATTCTAAACTCTTTCCAAATAATAACCTTTATAATTTGATAGAGCAAGTAGTTAACATTTCAAAAACGAAAACATCATTGAAATTACCATGTATTTTAAGTAGGATAATTGCCTGTATTTAAAACAAGTGTTTTTCTGTCCTAAAACAAGTTACCTTATTTTGAAAAGTGAAAGTAAAAATTGATTGTTGTGTGGCCTATAAATTCGTTTTTCACTTGTGAATGGATGAAAGTTTGTAAACTAAGATTTAGGAAAAGTTACAGTCAAACTAAAAAAAGGAACATTTAAAATGCAGTAAAAGTTGCTTTACAAACAAAACAAACAGATTTTAGCTGTAACTATCAGTATCCGACAGAGAGAAGTGTTTATTCATGGCAATAAACTCAAAATCATAAAAAAAAAAAATAATTCAAAATCTTATTAATGTGGCCTTTTTCAGTTTTTGTCAATTAGCAATCTGAATTGTTGGAAAAAGTTCTGAACCTTTAACATTCGGGTTCTTCCTGATTATGCATAATTAAAGCTTACTTGATGTGTAAATGTCATCTTGGTATATAACAGAATTGTTTTTTTTTATTCAAAACTTAATTTAATTGTGTAGTTTGAGCAGGAGAGGAATAGTTATTTTGGGTAAAAATTCAGTCCCATCA